GGGAAGAATATTCAAAAAATGGTTTTTTTTTCGGCATGTGAACGGAGATTTGACCACAAAGCATTATGAAATGAAAGCCCATGAAAATCCTGTGAATGTATTCATAGCATATTCATATGATTTTCAGATGTTTGTCATGCATCTTTCATGGTTTTATCTCCCTGGTTTTTCATGGGTTTTATAACATGAAAAATCCATTAAAAAGGCCATAAAAACCCCCTTAACACTTTACGTTTCAGGGTTCATGAATACTCTTAACTTTCTATCCAGTCCATGAAATAACCATGAAAAGACCATTAAAGTTTGGTGGTGATTTTAAGGGGTTCTTAATTATGGTGAAAATCTCATGAATTAAACAGCATAAGTTCAAGGTAAATTTCGTGGGTTTTCCATGGCATTACAAGGAATTCAGGAACCTGAAAAACGCTTGGTTTCCCCCTGAATTTGTAATTATCAATGGTCCATGAAAATGTTCTAAGCGAGTTCATGGACTTTTCATGGCATTGTAATGACCAGTGCAAAATTTATGCTGATACGCTGAAAGTCGCTTCATGGGGGGAAACAAAGTATGCACCCTAAATTAAAATTATAAATTTCTCTAAAAGACACTGCATGTTTGGCATATTTAAACAGGATACATCCTCTTTTGAGCTCTTTTCATGGTTTTTTCCATAACCTTGTCCAGTTTTCCATGACCTTAAGTTTAGCTGTTATAACTTTCGAAAATTTTCATTGTTGTTTAGGGTAGTTTTTGAAATAACTCAGTTCAACAGTCACAACCAAAATATGTCCACCAAAATATGTGCCATTCATGGAGATAAAGATACAGTTCGTTGGAAATTGCGGTCGTTCGCCATGAACTTGACAGTTTCATTGTGTAGTTGACAATCAAAATGCGAACTTTGGAACAGAGTTGTAAATTTCACGCCGAATTTCATTGCATGGGAATTTGCGAAGTTTTTGCGACGGAAGTTCATGCTATTCGGTATACAGCAGTGACTAGCTAGATTTTGTGAAATTTTTTTAATGAATCCATTAACAGTGTTGATTTACATTAATAACACTGCTGGTAGTTTTCCACAATATTATGATATAATGTTTATCAATTTTCATATAGATAAGTTCCATTTGGCATCAATGCCTTTCCACAAGACAGATTAATCGGCTTTAAAATTATTATCGAGTGGCTATTAAGTTCAAAACTATCTTTATTCTGGCAACTTAAATCTGTTTCTATTCTTGATACAGTGGAAGCTAGATATAACGAAGGGTCAAAGAACTGGCAAAATGTGTTCGCCATACCGAGGTTTCATTATAGTGAGGTTCTCTTTCATAAATTTTGCTGTTACTGGGGTAAAGAAAATCGTTCGTTATACCCAGGACTTCCGTTACATAGAGGTTGGTTTTTAGCTGCGGTGCAGTAGAGTCCTGGCATCATGGTAACCATACATTGGTTGTGTGAAAAACCACTCGTTTACCTCAGGTCTTGGTTGAAAATAAATGAACTGAAAACTAAAACGTTTGTACTTGTAGTTGACATGGCGTCTAAAGAAAATTAATAAATTATTTTGTCTTTAAACATACATTTACATGTAAGCTTATAGGGTCTTGACAAGCCGGTGTCTGCCTGAATATTAAGCTTATGTATTCATGTAGGATTCCATGGACCATTTGCAACAAACACTACAGAAAAAAGGAACCAATAAATGTCATTTCATTGCATCCCCCCGTACCGTTTCCTTTTCACATCGGTAAAATTTAACTCAAATCTCCAGTTTTATCATTAGTAAGTGTCGAAAGTTACCATCAGATGACCCAAGTAACAACGACCACGATCAGCAGGAGAATACTGTAACAATTATTACCGGTGTATCAAGCTGGAGAACAAAAAGACAAAATGAAGAGAGCACTCCAAGATTGCAGTTCAACAACAACTCTGTAATTCATGAAAACAAGGCTAGCACGTCATCGTTTACAATGTATCAATATTGACCAATATTGTCACATCTTCCCCTTTTTGTCAAGCTAGATTCTGAGGGGAAGATAACCAACATGACAATGGTAAACAACTAACAAACAACAATGACACTGCAAAACTAAGCTTATTTAACAAAAAGTATAATGAGCATGCAGTGTGTTGCTTTCTGATAGGGCTCAAGTCACAGTTCCTGGTACTACATAAAATAACGATTCTAGGTCTTGACATAGTCTTGAAATCTAACTGGTTCTTTGATGACTCGACCCGAGCGAGTGCAGACAGGTGATGATTGCTTTGCTTCCAGATGGCCTGTCTGGCTGTTCATAGCTTATGTGGTTAGCAATCCGGATCCGGTGTCATGATTGTTGGGCTTGAGGTAGTGGGTCTGGTACTGTTTGTTTGGCTATCTCATGCTGTGTATGTGCAGGAGGGCTCTTGACCAGGTGCTGTCTGTTGCGTCTATAGGTGGTGCCGTTGGACTGGACTTCATAGGACCTCTGATCTAATCGCGTTGTCACTTTTCCCTTGTTCCTATCATGTTTGCCGAGCGCAGATGACTTTATTCTGACTGTTCAGGGCTGGAAGATCATGGGCTGTCGGATTATAATAACTTTGCTGCCTCTTTTGGTTTAGCTGAAGTTGTTCCATTTCATGAAGGTTTGGGGGGTTTCTGTGTTCTGGGAGTGATCTTGTGGATGGTAGTAGGCTTCTTGTCCTTCTTCCTAGGAGATGCTTTGCTGGGCTACTGCCAACACCTTGAGTTGGCGTATTTCGGATGTTGAGGAGAGCCAGGTACTGATCTTCTTCTCACTATGATGTCTTGCGCAACATTTTCCTTGCAGTTTTTACAGCTGATTTAACCTTGCCATTTTTCTTGCTGTGGTGCAGTGATGTTGTGGTATGTTCAATGGCCCATTTCTTTGTAAAGGACTTGAATTCACTGAATGTAAGCTATGGGCCATTATCAGTAACTAATTGCTTGGGGATACCATAACGTACCATATGAGACTTCAACTTTTTTATCACAGTTGATAACTTGGTGTCTAGGAGTCGATCCAACTCCCAGAAGTTTGATTTGTAGCAAACGGTAACAAGATATTCTTTGTCATGATGGGTGAAGAGGTCTGCTGCGATTTTTCCCATGCTCCTTCAGGGATATCATGCAGCATAAGTGTTTCTTTGCAGGGTGTTAATTAATTCTCTCTGCGTGTCTCACAGGTGCGAATCCATGCTTTTTATTCCTTGTTCATGCCTGGCCAAAAAACATGTTCCCTCGCGTGGCGCAGGCAGGCTTCAATTCCTTGATGTCCGCTATGGATATCCTTCTTGACAGCTGTTCGCATTTCTTTAGGGATCACACCTCGCTCTCTACGGAATTTCGAACCATCAGTAACTGCAAGTTCGTCCCTGAAGCTGAAATAAGGAGTGACGAGGGTGGTAGTGATGACTGGTCAGATGGCCAACCCTCTTGTGTTATGCGTTTCAGCTGTTGTAGGGAGTTATCTTTACCGGTGTATCGGCGGATCTCATAAATTTTCTCTTCAGGCATGACCAGGAAGGAAAGGGCATGAATTGTTTCGAACTCTTCTTGTCCGCAATCAGAGGGTCTTGGCAGGTGAGCTCTGCTAAGCGTGTCTGCTAGATACATCTCTTTGCCATTTAGGTAACTCACTTCGATGTCATAGGCCAGGGCGCGCATAAGCATTCCCCGTAAGCGTTTTGGAGCTCTGTCCAAGGGCTTTTTCGTGATGCTCTCCAGCAGTTTATGATCTGAGTACACAGTCACGGGGCGACCAAAGGTGTATTGGTGCCACTTCTCCGGGGCGAATACAATCGCAAGCATTTCCTTCTTAATGGTTGGATATCTGGTTTCTGCTCCACTTAACGCCCGGCCAGCATATGCTAGTGGTTGGCCGTCTTGGAGGAGAGCGACTCCTAGTCCCTGTCCACTAGCATCACACTAGATGGTTAAGCCTTGACATGGATCAAAGTAGGCTAGTGCTGGTGCCTGTGTCAGCAGGCGCTTCATCTCTGCTAAAGCTTTCTCGTGTACAGCATCCCACGTCCACTCAGAGGTCGTTCGGTCAGCAGTCAGCGGTGATGATGGCCGCGTCTTTTGAAGCTGTGTTTGTGTTTTAATGAATAACAAAGCTATAATAGAATAAAGTAAATCTTGTTAAAGAGCCATAATTAGTTTTACTATAATGTACCCTTCTCCATTGTAATTTTTTCTTGCTAACATTATAAACTCGTAGTTTCAACAACCTTATACGAATTATTATTGTACAATTGATGTATTATCCATAGGATGGAGTAAAAATGAAATGCAAAAATACAAAATACTCAGAGGTTGGGCGAGCTAGGTTGTAGACTGGATGCATAACACCAGACAGGTTTGGAACAAATTTACACAGGTAATTCACAGTTCCTCTTAGTCTTTCCACTGCTGCTTTGTCTTGTGGCGGCGACATGATTTGGATTGCCTCAACTTTAGAGGGGTCTGGCTTAATTAATTACACAAAAAATTTATGTACCATTATGCGTCATCATCAACTATTAAATTGACTAAGTTTAAGATCGGACAAGAACTATGACGAATTAATAAATGTGTGCAACATTTCTCTAGGCATTAATGTCTACTTTTGTGCTAGTGCGACTTTGGGCATTTCACGGTTTTTAATTGTGCAGTCATGGGAATCTCATGGGCGATTAGAAGTTTCATGACCCATAAAATACATGCTTGGCTCTAACAGCCTTTTCAGGGGTCATGAAATGTACCAGTTTAAATATGTATGACTTTCATGACCTATGAAAATTCATATTCATGGCTTTGTAAACTTCTCATAATTCATGAAAATAACCAGTTAAGAATTTCTTGGAAATTTCATGACTCAACTTAACACCATGAAATCTGAAATCCCCGTTTTCATGGCCATGGTTCAAGGGTTTTTCAACACATTTTATGGGATTTTCATGAAAAAGAGATGCATACTGAAGGCATTCCAGGAGATGGAAAAAACTGTAAGAAACAGTTTTTTCATCAAACACATCTATACCTATCACCTTTGGAACATCGAAATGGGGGACACAATGGCTTATTATTAAAACCCGAAGAAGCCCCTGGTTTGAACGACAGCCAGAAGCGACGCGATGGCTGAAAGAACAGGAAGAAAACCAACTCCAGGGCGAAAACATAGATCGCCCCGACACAAAATGGCGGCTCGAATAGCACCTTATAGTAGAGATGAAAATCATCGCGCACCCGGAAGCACCACTGCACGTCGGAGCGGGGCGTTTGCCCGATTGGCTTCGAAACAAGAAGGGGATGTTGTCGTTGGATACGTACGCCGACGATTTATGTATTTTTAGATGTATTGCGGTCCATCGAGGAGCGCATTGTGTTTATAACACACGACAAACTCGTGAGCTCGCCGTAAGCGTTTTTAACAATAATAGAATTCAACATCTACGAAGATCACGCTTTCCTGATAACGAATCTCGACAAAGTGTTGAACCACTATGAGTGTGCCGAGTGTCAAAGAAAGATTCACCAACGCATGCCACCTGCGGTGGTATACAGAGGCTTGTACGAGAAGGGCAATCAAGGTGGTGTGTCGAGGAGAGCAAATCCAGATTCCCGAAATGGCGGATGAAAAATCGTTTTATGGAAAGAGGGCACATTCTAGAATGGCGGTAAGCTGGATGGAGCTCGAGGCCCGGCGGAGGGGTGTTCATATCAATCAGCATGTGTGGCCACGGTGGAAAAAGGATGATTGCAGGATATCTAGTGGATGGTTTTTGGTTGGAGACAAACACGGTGCTCCAGTTCCACGGATGCCATTGGCATGGCTGTCTAGAGTATTTTCCAGAAGGGCAAAAGGACCGGATCACTTTCGAAAAGAGAAAGGAAGGAAAGACATTTTTGACACGTGAGATGCAGTATGCAAGAACGCTGGAAAGAGGGAAGGCGATCCTTGAGGAAGGGTTCGAGCTGATCGAGTGTTGGGAGCAAGATTTTAACGAAAGCCGGATCTCTCCGAAAAATAAAACGGACACTATTCCGCATGCCATCGGTTCGACTTCGAGGCATTGCTGGACACGAGCAAACGCAAGGAGAAAGACCTGCTGTTCGAAAGCGAGCACGTGCCGGTGTCTGTTTTGTCGGTAGACATTCCGAAAAGAGATCCAGAACACATCAGCAGCAAAGATCGGGAAGAGCTGATCCGGAAATTCTTGGGGGGCGCTTGTACGATCGGCTGTGGCTATCCAAGGAGACATGCTGCAGTACATCCCGCAGGATTGCGATTTCCGGTCAGAGAATCAGCATCAGCTGATCAACCAATGGTGTTTCCAGATCCCAGTTCTAGGTTTCAACTCAGGACACTATGATCTGGAACTGATCAAGAAGTATTTTGTGACCCACATTCTGCAACCCGGCTATGTTATGGCCAACAAACAAAGCAAAGTCCTGTACATGTCGATGCCGATGTTTAAGTTTCTGGACGCCTGGAACTAAGTCAGCCCTGGGACAAGTTACGAAAAGTGGGTGAAAACGTACTTGGCCAAGCTCTCGAAATCGTGGTTTCCCTACGAGTGGTTCGACACGGCCGAATAGTTAGACTCCCCGGCACTGCCACAGTACGAGGAGTGGTTTTAAAAGCTGAGAAACGAAATGACCCTCTCCAAAAAAGAGTACAGGGTTGCCATCAAATTTGGCGGGAAAAGGGGATGTGCGCATTTGTGGATTGGTTGCGCCTTTACAACAACCTGGTTGACAAGCCCTATCTGGAGGCCATACAGTCCATCCAAGACTTCTACACGGGTCTGGGAATTGACCTATTTAAATACGCGGTTTCGATGCCGGGGTCTCAATAAAATATATCTTGCGGGGCACGCTGAACAAAAGAGACGCCCTGGAGTTGCATACTCCAGGGAAGGAGGCCAACGAAATGCTGAAAGTCGAGCTTGTAGGGGGACCAAGCTTTGTCTTCTGTAGAAAGCTTGAGGCGTACAAACCAAGAATCTGGTCGTACAAATTCAACGACGCGACGATGTCGAAGAGTTCTGGACTACGACGCCAACGCATTGTACCCAAGCACAAAGTTGGGCGCGATACCCTGCGGCAAGGAGGTCGTTGTGCATTGGCTGCAAACGCCATGGAACGCTGGAAAGTTCGTCGACGTTCTGGAGGGAGACAGATAGTTTGGCTTCGCCGAGGTGGACATCAAGGTGCCCAGAGGGCTGTGGGCGAAGTTCGACGAAATGCCGCCGTTGTTTCCAACAAACCCATCCCAAGCCTATGCATGACCAACGAAGGCTGATTGGCACTCTTTTAGCCCAGCTAATGCTGTTGTATGCACTGATGCAGAAATGGTATCTCGACTATGGATAGAAAATCACAGGGGCTACAGAACCATTGATTATGTGCTGCAAAAACATTTCACGAGGTTCATGAAGAAAGTCACGGAGAATAGGCGCAAGGGCAATCAAAATCCAGAGTAGGCGTTGTTGGCGGAGGTGTTGAAGCTGATGGGCAACAGCTCATATGGCAAGCTGATCGAAGCCTCAGAAAGGTAGACTACCATGAAGTACACAACGAGCGAGAGCGTGTTGAGGAAGGAGCTGCGCTCGATGTGGTCTCAAGATTTGGAGGAGATTGTGGACATGTACAAAATCGAGTGGAAGTCGACAAACCCTTCCTGGTGGCGATCGCAGTCTGCCAAATGGCCAAACTCTGGGTCCTGCAGTTTTACTATGACTGTCTGGACAAGTTCCTCGACAGGCGCGATTTCCAGTTAATCCAGATTGACACCGACAGCCTGTACTTCGGGCTGTCGTGTGATTCGGTGGAAGAGGCGGTGAGTCCCGAGATGCTGGAAGAGTTATGAGCAAGCAAAAAAGAATGGCTCGCGTGGAACAAATGGAGTGAGCAAAAATCGGGGCTGTTCAAGCTGGAGTTCGAGGGCACTCGCGGAATTGCTCTGTGTAGCAAGTGTTATTTCATGGAGGGTGAGAATGGAAAAGGCGAAATTGTCCTCAGAAGGGGACCTTAAAGCGCCAAAACAACCTGAACTGGGAGCAGTACAAAGACGCACTGGAAGGAGGGCTGGACACCGCCACGAACAGGGGAATGAGAATGAACGGAGGGGTGATGTGCACCTATGAGAAAAAGAAGCTGGGGCATAGAGCCTACTACATCCACATGGAGCTGATAGAATATGTAGCAACCAATCCCCCGCCTAGTCCCAGTCAGCGTGTTTACGTAAGTAATTCGACTTTCGCAGGGGTTATGAAAATCGTAAAGTATCTTGCTCGAGCTCGCTAGCTGTTACAACTACGTTACGTTCTATATCATACTTCGTTCGCCGTATTCCCAAATCGTCAGGTAATGTCCTCTGTCTTCGTTTATCTCGTATTTCCTATGTTATCTGTATTTCCTACGTTATTTCCATTGTTGTAATTAGTCGTTCCGCTCTTAACGTATTATGTTTGTTACTTTATCCTAGAAACCACTGGCAACATCAGGTGAATAAAGTTAAGAGTTCGAGTTGTTCCAGTTGAATTAAAACTATTTTACGACTTATATTATTGCTGGTGCGTTGGCTACAGTTTCTGACGTTAGTGGAATTATGTCAATAGAAAATTCGTCGATCGGACGTGAAAGAATGCTGAAGAATGCTGTCCCTGAAGTCGAGCAAGTCACCTTGGCTATTTAAACAGATTGTACAAAGACGTCGAGTTATTAATGCAAAACGCGGATAATTATCATGTGGCTTGTAAGAAGAAGAAAGATGTTGAAATCGCGTTTGCGACTACGACGAATATTATCAATTCGCCATCGACCCCGAAGTCAAATCAGATGGGCTTAATGCTTGTCACAGCATAATGACAGGAAATAAGGAATTCGACGAGCGTTTTGAAGAATGGTCGCGATCCGTTCAACGTACCTTGGATAACACTTCAGTGGTTCCTCGCCAAGATTATGGTGATACTGCCGAATCACAGATTGTCACACGTTCAGTAGTCACCGCAAGTAGCAGAAATTCGAAGAGCTCCAAGTCCAGCTCATTTGCAAGTGATCGATCAAAAAAGGCTAAAGCCGAGCTGCTTCGTCGTGAAGTTGAGTTAAAGAATCTGTTAAAGCGCCAGGAGATGGAACGTCAAATGGAACGTCAAATTGCCGAGATGAAAATTCAAGAAGATGAATTGAAACGCCGGATTGCTTTATTGACCGCAGAAGGGGAAATAGAGAAAGCTAAGGCCGTTGATGAGCTTTATGAAACTTCGGAATATTCAAAACGTGGTATCAAGGCAGAGTTAAAACCGGTTTACAAAGACGAAACGCGCGATTCCTTACCTCCTGCGAAAGACCTTCAGGCTGGACCGAACTTTAAGAGTGGCGACTTCAAGTAAGTTGGGAGAAACTATTCTAAATCAGTGCTGAATCCAGGTGCTCAACCTTGGGACCTAGGACCCCCGCAGAACACTATCGGCGCTGGAGACCCCACTGGTTCCCAACAGTTGCAAGAAATATTAACGCAGCAACAAGAAGCTTTGCAACTTATGGCGTACACAATTCGACAGGGATTTGAAATGCCGAAAAGAGAGCTTTTGACGTTTGATGGTAACCCGCTTAACTACTGGTTGTTCATAAATAACTTCGAGGTCAACATCGCTAAGAGGGTACCGGACCCCGAGACGAGGCTAACTTACCTTATTCAACACTGTACTGGGAAGGCTAGGGAAGCCATTAAAAACTGTGCCATAATGTCCGGTCCAGAGCAAGGCTACAGGAAAGCTCAAGAAATCTTGTACCATAGATTTGGACAGAAACACATCATTGCGCACGCGCACATCACGAAGATTGTGGAAGGTCCGCAGATCAAGAATACTGAATCCACTGGTTTATTAGACCTGTCCGTTGAAATGCAGAATTGTGCGCTGATTCTCGTACAAATGGGCTACGAGGCAGATGTTAATAGCACGGACAATCTCGTGAAGGTGGTGAAGCGTCTCCCTGTTCATCTGCAGTGTAAATGGGCGGACAGAGCCGGTTCATTAACCTTAGCTGGAACGGAACCTACCTTCATGGATTTAGCTGGTTTTGTTGAAGAGAAAGCTTTGCTAGCAAACACCATGTACGGACGAATAGTTGGATCGACACCACAGAAAGAACGGAGCTCTAAGCCACCGCCTAAAATAAAGTCACCGTCCTCGAAAGGAAACACCTTCGAGACGCAGTCCGAAGACCTTCCTCAAGTAAACACATCTGCTATCGTAACTTGTCCTTTGTGTTCTGGTCAACATAGGCTGTGGAAATGCGAGCTCATGAAAGCAACGAGCCCAGAAGAAAGAAAAAGCTTCGTTCGAGAAGCAAGACTACGCGACAACTGTCTTGGAAGCGGTCACATGGCCATAGATTGCAGAAGTAAAATGATGTGTCAAGTGAATGGATGTGGATGGAAACACCACACTATGTTGCACGTTAAGAAGAAGAGCAACAATAATAGCACCCCTCCTAACCCTCCTGCAGTCACCTCGGAAGAGACTGGAACGGGCGCCGTCAGCGGGGCCGGGGATGCTGGTCGGTGGGGTGCTACAGACTCTGGCAAGAAGAATGTTTGTTTAAGAATCGTTCCAATTGTCGTGAAAGGAATGGGTCAGCACAACAACATTTTGCATGCATGGCAAACGCGCTACTGGATCCTGGTTCGGACGTCACTTTATGTGATGACGTTTTTTGAGTCTAATGGAGAAACTTCGAAAGTTTTACTTATAGTTGGCCGTCCTGAAGGAATTCTATGGGGTTTTTGCCGTTTTTCGAAAGTTTTCGCGGAAAAATTTATACAAAATATTCTATAGGAACTAGCGACCGTTAATGGTGCATTCGACACTGAACGAAAGGGATTTCGAGTTGTCTTTGTCTGTTTGAGGATTACAAAATGAAAGACCCAAAGAAGTCAAATGGATGGATGAAGATAGAGTTTGGACAGTGGATACGTATCCACCAAATGGTATCATTTAGGAATAAATGATTTTTTTTGCAACAGAAGCCAGGATTTATTTAAAAGGTGTATTGATAACGTTTCATTTTTACCTCAAAATAAGGTCAGAGTTCCACTTTGTATAACTAAATGATAGATCTGGGGAGAAAGGCAAGATTTCGAGATAAACAAGCCAGAGAAAGGGCGAAAAACAGTTTCACGGCAGAATGGACACTTAATTAACCACTGTATTCCTGAAACGATTAAGATCGATTTTAGAGTTATACTATTGAGAAGAATTAAGTATCTATAGGATAACTGTTTAACAAAAAACTATCATACTGACCTTTTCCTTCTGCTCAAAAAATGTGCTCGAAATGTTAAAGCCGCCATCTTGTCTTCGATGTACTGTTTTACGAAAGGGAAGACTGTCCTCTCAAGGGCGACAGCGGGGCTACAATAAACTCACTTTCATCGTAGAAATACCTCGATACCTTTAAAGAACATGTTTGTGGAACATTCATTCAGCTCCAGAAAACAGCCTGCAAATGCTGGTACTGAACGTAAACAATTCACAGAAGCAGCCCACATTCACGATCAAAAGAGGCGTGGCAGGCGTGGTCAACCTTCGAGTTGTCTTTGTCTGTTTGAGGATTACAAATGAAAGAAGAAGTCGTGTTAGATAGACTTTGGACCCAAGGTAGTCCACCTACTAAGGAAGATACTGCTAAGTGTTGAATAGACTTTCCGAGAGCGCAATCCTGTGCTTATTGGATGAGACCACGTGGAATTCGGTTGGTGTGGGACCACTGAAGAGATTGTTTCAGTGTGAACTTTGTTCGCCATGACGACGAAACGCTTCATCGGCAAATGGAGAGCATGTTTAGGAGTGACTTTAACGAGCCTATGATCTCCTCAAAGGCTGCAATGTCAGTTGAAGATCAAAGAGCACTGTCGCAAATGGAAACTTCCGTGAAGCTCGTGAATGGCCACTATCAGTTGGGGTTGCCATGGAGCCACAAGTCAGTAAACCTCCCGAACAATCGTGAATTTGCGTTCGGAAGATTGCGCTACTTAAAGAAAAGATTCCAGCGCGACCCTCACCTCTTCGAGAAGTACAGAGACACTATTAACGGTTACGTATCCAGCAGCTACGCAAGACGAGTTCCCTGTAGCGAACAGAAAAATGTAAAGGATTCACCAGTCTGGTACTTACCCCACCATCCAGTTTTCTATCCTCAGAAAACAGGGAAAGCGAGAGTCGTGTTTGACTGCGCGGCCAAGTTTAAAGGCACCTCCCTGAATGATCAGCTTCTTCAAGGTCCAGACCTAACGAATGGACTTTTGGGCGTTGTCAGACGTTTTCGCCAAGAACCTGTTGCCATGGTTGCGGATGTGGAAGGCATGTTCCATCAGGTGCGGGTAGCTCCCGATGACTGTAATGCGTTAAGATTCCTGTGGTGGCCCAATGATGATCTCTCCAAAGAGCCAGTTGATTACCAGATGTTAGTGCACTTGTTCGGAGCCAAGTTGTCTCCAAGTTGCACACTTTTTTGTCTAAAGAAAACAGCCTCGGATAATCAGGGCGACTTTGATGTGGAAACCATTACCACTGTTGACCGGAACTTCTATGTAGAAGACTGTCTGAAGACTGTCCCTGCGACTGACAAGGCGGCACGTTTGTCTGGCCAGTTACGAGAATTGCTGTTAAGAGGAGGGTTTCGGCTTACCAAATGGATTAGTAATGACAGGAACGTATTTGCCACCGTTCCAGTAACAGAGAGAGCGCCCTCAGTAGTAAACTTGGATTTGGAAGATCTCCCTGTAGAACGCACATTGGGAGTGCAGTGGGCCATGGAAACAGACGACTTCAACTTTCGCATCATGGATGAACGAAAGGCCCTCACACGCAGACGAATCTTGTCTGTTGTAAGCTCCATGTACGACCCTCTCGGGTTCGTCGCGCCCATCATTCTGTCAGCCAAGAGTCTGTTGCAGAGCCTATGTAGGCAGAAGTATGGCTGGGACGAAGAGATTTCCCAAGCAGATTCCACTGTATGGCAAGAATGGCTGAAGGAACTTGCATGTTTGAGAACAATATCAGTTCCCAGGTGTTTCAAGCCACCAGGATTCGGTGCAGTCGTCAACGTTCAGTTACATCATTTCTCAGATGCTTCTGAAATTGGTTATGGAGCGGTATCGTACCTTCGACTCGTCGACGACAAGGGTGCTCCGCACTGTTCTTTTGTTCTTGGCAAGTCTCGCGTCACTCCCCTGAAGGTAGTGTCCATACCACGTCTTGAGTTAGCAGCTGCAGTGGTCGCTGTGAAGTTGAACTGCCTGATTCGGAACGAATTAGAGTATCCCATACACGACACAATCTACTGGACGGACTCTACCGTAGTCTTGCAGTACATTCACAACGAATTAAGATTTCACACGTTTGTTGCAAACAGAGTCGCGATGATACACGACGAATCCACACCACGACAGTGGCGACACGTTGACACCTGTGCTAACCCTGCCGACATCTCGTCCAGAGGGGCGAAAGGTTCTGAACTTCACACGTTGGAGCTGTGGCTTTACGGCCCAAAGTTTCTGTGGAAGGACGAGAAACATTGGCCTGACCAACCGTCCCAGTTGCCGGAATTGCCTCAAGATGACAGTGAATGCAGAAAATGCCCTGGTCGAACAAACGTGATCGTCAGCAGTAAAATGTTGGAACCGCTGTTGTCCCGCTATTCATCCTGGGACAGTCTTCGAAGGGCCATAGCCTGGTTAGTACGTTTCAAGAAGTATTTGGTTGGCCTCCTTAACAAGGATTCAGACAGCATTCCCAAGGGGCCCTTTGACTGTCAGGGAAGTTATTGCTGCAGAGAGTGTGATCATCAAAGCTGTCCAGCATGATGCGTTTCCAGCGGAGCTAGCTGCGGTAGGCCAAGAAGCGTCAGAGAACCAGAAGAAGTGCGTTCCACGATCTAGTCAAATACGCAACTTGAACCCTTTTGTTGCCGAGGGAATATTAAGAGTAGGAGGTCGCCTCGAGAATGCTCCTGTTTCATTCCAAACGAAGCACCCGGTTATTCTTCCCTGTAAACATCACGTGACAAATTTGATCATCCAGAATTGTCATCGCCAACAAGGGCATTGTGGTCCTTCTCAAGTTCTGGCCTTCATCCGAGAGAGATTCTGGATTGTACGTGGCCTCTCAGCAGTACGCAGGGTTTTGGCGAGTTGCATGAACTGTCGCAAGCAAAATGCTCGTCCTGGTAAACAGATTATGGCCCCACTCCCGTCAGCACGAGTCGCTCCGACAGATCCACCATTTACCCATGTGGGTGTGGACTATTTCGGTCCACTCTTTGTCAAGCAAGGACGCAGTCAAGTGAAACGTTACGGATGTTTGTTTACATGCCTTACCATGAGGGCGGTGCACATTGAGGTCGCGCACACATTGGAAGCAGGCTCCTATATCTGTGCATATCAGCGTTTTGTTAGTCGCAGAGGGAAGCCCCAAGGAAATACACAGCGCCAACGGCACCAATTTCACGGGCGCCGAGCAAGAGCTTAGAGAAGCACTGGAGCGACTGGACCAAGCCAAAATCTACAACAGTCTAAGGTCGAACGACGTTCAGTGGTCATTTAACCCCCCTGAGGGCAGCCATCAAGGTGGAATCTGGGAACGAATGATTCGCTCCGTACAGAAGATTTTGGGTGCCCTGTTAAAGGAACAGCTGGTGAACGACGCAACATTGTCAACCCTTCTTTGTGAGGTGGAAAGGATTCAACGACTAGCCTTTGACTCCCCTTAGTGACCACCCAGATGATCCTGAGCCGCTGACGCCGAGCAAACTACTGCTCCTGAGATCCAATTCTTGCCTCCCGCCGGATGTCTTTAAAGGTCACGACAAGTATAGCAAGCGCTGGCGCCAAGCACAATGCCTGGCAGATTCATTTTGGAAGAGATGGATGAAAGATTATTTACCTGCACTCCAAACAAGGCAGAAATGGAGCGTCCCTCGTCGAAACTTCCCTGTCGGTGACTTGGTTCTTGTTGTCGACGAGAAGACGCCTAGAGGTCGCTGGCTAATGGGCTTGATTGGAGAGGTATTTCCAGACAGCCATGGTCATGTACGTAGCGTTAAAGTGAAAACGGCCACATCTGTCTACAGACGTGACATCAGGAAGCTGTGCCTCCTTGAAGGAGTCTCGAACTAATGAACTCTGATAAGTTCTATGGCTAAGACTGCTACATTGCGAACTGTGTAATCTAAATTAAGTTAATTTTCGTCACATTTCTGTATGTTCTTCGTAGTATAGGAATTGGTTATTTTGTTGCTGGAATTACCTAGTAGCTAATTCAGGGCCGGTGTAGTAACCAGTCCCCCGACTAGTGCCAGTCGGTGTGTTTGCGTATAAGTAATTCGAATTTCGCGCGGGTTATGAAAATCGTACGGTATCTTGCTCGAGTTCGCTAGCTGTTACAACTATGTTACGTTCTTTATGTTACTTCGTTTGCCGTATTCCCAAATCGTCAGGTAATGTCCTCTGTCTTCTTTTATCTCGTATTTCCTATGTTATCTGTATTTCCTACGTTATTTTCATTGTTGTAATTAGTCGTTCCGCTCTTAATGTATTATGTTTGTTACTTTATCCTAGGAACCACTGGCACCATCATGAAAATAAGGTTAAGAGTTCGCGTTTTTCCAGTTGAATTAAAACTCTTTTACGACTTATACTATTGCTGGTGTGTTAGCTACAGAATATATCATCTTTAAAGCGGGGACGGCAGCTCGGTGTCGGCAGGCACGACAAGAAGTTCCTTGCGAACGAAGCCACGCTTGGCCCGTGGTGCAAATAATACAAAATAGATTCATTGGGTTTGGTGATTGCTTTTTCGATGTGATATACTTTCAAAGACCATATCGGGTCTGTGGCTCTTTTCCTTCCGCGTTAAAGCTGGCCGGGTTGGTAAAGAAAGTGCACAACCGCGGCGGAGGAGGGCCATTATTCGCGAAGGCTAACAGGTCTGTGCTATTGAGTAGAGGGTTTGGAATAAACAGCTTCTTGTCTGATGGCCGCAGCAGGTGTCTTTCAGATTAACCTGGTGACTTCGCCGTCCGGAGCCGAGACCACAGCAGCAATCCAAACGACACATTCGGAAGATCTTTGGCCCTCAGGAAGCAGCATTTCGACAGCTTACTGGTGCCTGAACAGGCGCTCAGCAAGGGTGCCATTGAATCTTTCCACAATTGCCTGGTCCCGTTGAATCTTTGTGCGCCAACGGCGAATGTTTCCATCTCTTTGGTAACAGCACCCATTAACTCACGTCCCGGGTCCACTGCCCGGTGGACTGCGTTTGGCGTCGACACATCGAATTTGGGGTGAGGAGAAATATTTGCCAAAGAGCTTGTCGTATCAACTAATTATTTGCGGAATCTTGGAAGCTTTTTGCGGCGGCGGCGAGCTTTTTTGATGGCGGCAATGCCTTTCCCATAGCCTTGAAGGCTGTAGTAAATTGTCGACAGCTTGGCCTCCATTTCTATATTAAACATGAAGAAAATAGAAATGGACACCCAGTGGGACACGCTGCCGCCAAAAATGCAAGAATAAATCTTGTTTTACAAAGAAGTGACGGAAAGAGACAAATTGTCAAAAGTCATGAAAGGCGGGGAAGTTACTGGCAAACTGTCCAGAAATTGGCCCTAGGAATGGCAGAAAAGAAATTTTACGACGTCTTGGACATCCGGGTCAAGATGGAAGTCGTCATGGCTGAACTGGAATAGGGGAACTTGGGTTTTTGCCCGAAACTGGTTTCGAGCGTCAAAATGAGATTCAAAGAAGAATTAGCAAAAATGGACAAGATCGAAAAAATCCGTTTCGAGATAACATTTGCGGAGCATTGGGTATTCGCATGGTAATCACAAGAAATGAAAGGCGGCGTATCCAAGCGCGAGAGCGCCGCCGTCGGGAAAAATCAACTCGCCTTTTTTTTGCAGAGAAATGGGTTAGTAGAAGTAGAGAACTTTGGTTCGCTGGGCGCCGTGAGCGGCTCATCTTGATGCATCCGCTTGTGGAGCTTGAAGACGTAGTCGGGTGGCACCCGTCAGGGGCCGAGCCCGCAGAGGCCACCGCCCCTGACGGGTGCGTGAAGCTTTGTTCGGCCAGTTTGCAGAACGATGGCGGCCACGTTTTCGCGGAATGGTTTTGCGATGCTGATGATCTGCTGCGTGAGAACCCACACGCTGATTGCCTGCATGGTGGGCAGAAACACCGAGAGAGACCAGCTGGCCTGGGCGGCCTTTCATGTCGTTCGAGGCAGCGCAATCGTCCAAAACAACAAGCACGTTCGTGCCCTGAAAAAAATGGCTGCTGAGTTTCAGCAAGAGCTCGACCTCTTCCTGCGGGCAGTCAATGACGAAAATGTGCGAAAAGTGATCCACAAACCCGTCGTAAGTTTTGTTGCGGGCAAGGTTGGACATATCGACACCATTTAGGCGAACTATTGTGGGCCCCACGATCAGTGCGTTAGACTGAATGCTAATTGGGTCTATTTATATTTAATGTTGCACAGACTCGAGCTGTTTGTCCATCATGTTCTTCTGAGCATTGCTTATTGTAAAAGCGTGGCATTTCACATTTTCCGAGCCAGATTTCTATCTGTCGATCTCAATGAACACATCGTCTTTGGTGTTCACAAGACGGACGCCACTGCCGTGCATTGTTTTGTCCACCATGGAGCGAAGGTCGATGAGCAACCCAGACTTGCGATCTCCGTAAAACCTTGTGTGGTCCATTCTGTTTGCAACGTCTTTGAGCTGGAAAAACAGGATGATCTTCCAGCACATAGACGCGATCAACCTGTCAGCGCTGAGCAAGGATTTGGGGAAAGGTCTGAAAAAGATTGGCAAAAAAAACCCCAGCGTCTCTTTTGCCCGGCCTCATCGGCTCGATCGTGAGCTTCAATTTTCAAAGTTGCAGGACAAGGCAAGGCATCTCCTTTCAGGTGGAACACACTTGGCTGTTAATTCTTGTTGTGGTCTTCTTTCTGATGGAACGGTTCTTCAAGCGCTTAAGTTAACTCTTCCAAATCAACAGACCTGTCAAAAGAACTGCTCGCACAACGATCATTGCCTATGTCGTGACTCGTGATCGCTGAGGCTGCTTCGGAAGGTGAGGGGGAAGTTGGAAGAGATGGGCACCTCCTTATTTTGCTCTTTCACTGCCGCCTTGTGAACTGGATTGGAAGGATGGCTTTTTGGCGGGCTAATTTTTCACGGTTCGCCGTCCATGAGGCGCAGCCCCACTTTTTTGTCTCTGTATTCACGTCACTGTTAGCCTGAGATTGTGTTTGGCGTTGCCTGCCTGGGCTTGTTGTGGCCTGCCTCGAATAGCCTCAAGCTCGCTAACTGCAGGCCAGTCCCAATATATTTTTTTTGTTATATTTCCAAATTTAAATAAGTTGAAGTTGAAGTCCGTGTGTCATACCCAGTCCGCAGTTCGTGGTCCGCAGTCCACGTTTTATACTGACCGGTATGTGATGTAGTATACAACCCCATTTCTGCCCCGGCCATCCTGGCCGTGAAGATGGCGAAGTTTTTAACAAGCACTCCTTCGAAAAGTAATTTAACAAATCGATCAGTCCATCTCTTGATATGTTCTCCGGAACATATACCCCCAAACGAGTGGCTTTATTTTGAGCTCGTCAAATGTCCAGTGTTCGGCGAACGCTTCATTCTCGCCTGCTCCAGATTTCCTGTAGCTCTTGAAGTGATTTGTGCCAAAGAAATTCGAGATTGTTATTAAGCGCCATCGCTGTATGCAGATTGTGTGCCAGTGTCTGACAGGGGTGTTTTCTCTCTCTGTTGGCGATGATTCGGGCTTGATGACGTCACGGCATAGCTGTGCCGGGCCATCGGGCTGAGAGCAAATGAGTTTGCCATCGCTGCAGGGGAGTGCCATTCTCTAACAAGCATGGTGCAGCGGGCCCCTGCTCAAGGGGTTTCTCACGGCCGGGTGCGACTGGTTGCGGCTGTTTTGCCACCCTGCGGCGCTCCGCTCAACACCCAAGTTGTAGAGTCAGAGTCACAAATCTGTAGACGTTTTTCTCTCTCGTGGCCGGAGGACGAGCTTGCGAGCCCGAAGGCCGCAAACTCGCAATAAACGTCTACAGATTTGTGACTCTGACTCTACCACTGCTTTTCTTGCCTAATTTTTTCTCTTTTGCTGGGCATTTATGTTAGGATTAGGTGAAAGGAAAGGTAGGTGGGTAGTGGAACAAGATTCTCATGGAAATTTTTAGATCAATGTTACATGGTTTTTTCCTTTTTCTCCGGTGTCCTTGATTGAATCGTGCTCATTCTGGTATGGTTTGAAAGATCTCTTCACTCTGCACAACTTAGCGGAAAAGGTGTCCTTGACCACTAAAACTGAGTAGGTTTAGAAAAAAAAGGAAAGACCATTTTTCTTTTTTTCTATTTTAAGGAAACATTGCCCTTTTCAAGTCTACGCTACTATCAAGTACCATGGGTATTTGTTTAGCAAGCAATGCGGTGGACGAAAGAAAGAGCGATCGTTACCTCGAATGTGCGCATAGTTTTGAGGAACCTAATCCTTGGTGGAGAGTGGACATGGGAAGAGTGGAGCCTGTAGCGGTGGTGATTATTCTCAACAGAGGAGACTGCTGTTGGAGGAGAATAGATAAGTCTGAGATTAGAGTGGGTAGGTGCGGGTACCTGTTTTAGCTATTTGAGTGTTTTGACGACTCAAATGTCACCAAATTTGCGAGTTATCACCAAGCCATTCATAATTATGAAATGGTTAACACAATCAATTCTTTGCAGGGGGTTGTTTTATCCTGGTTTCATTAACAGGAATCTCAAATAATTAATAAGTATAACAACCTAGATACCGATAGATGTTGGTGAATGACAATAGATAAAGAACAGAACTTAATAGCAATGTAGATTGAAAACAGTGGATTCCGGTATATGACAGTCTACCCTTTGTCAGACTTCAAACCGGTATTTCCAGGTTCGAGTTTCCAGCCTGACTATTCATGATCAGCGGATGGTAAGAAATGATAAGTGAGTAAATGATAAATGACGATAAATGAATGAGATACAAAGAATGAAAATAAAATAATAATTAAAATAATAATAATAATAATAATAATAATAAAACATCGATCAGTCAAGACTAGAACAGATTTTTTCCAACGTGCGTGGAGCTCAGTGATCGCACAACTCACTTTTGAGGATGAAAAATACGATTTAAGTTTGTTGAATGCAATGGACGAAACTACAGCTTAATAAGTTAAATAAGGATAATTGATGTGTAATCCAGAGTTAATTTTGCTTCTTGTGCAACGAAGAAAGCGAGATGTGCATGTAAGACTAAGCGACTAACGAACTAACCAACAAGTCCACGCACTGGCTTGGTTTATTGGTAAAAACAGACTGATGTTTGGTGATGTTTTAGAGTGGTACAAGGACCATTTCCGAAAACATTTTTCCATAGGCCAAGATTGAGGTCAAAAGTTTAATTTCTTTTGTGTTTGAATGTAAAGCAAAACAGTTTTTTATGTTTTTTATTCATTATTTATTTATTTATTTATACAGGAGCATCAGATTTAGCATAGCTAATTTAAACAGTCCTGTGGAAAAGAAAAACCTTTCATCTTTAATTACCACTACTTAATAAAAATACGACTATCTAATTAATACATAAAGAATTATGAAGAGAGAGTAGTACACTAAACGTACGTAAGAACACGACAATGGAGGTATTTCAGGGGATAGCTGCCTGGGACTTGAAATACCGTTTTGCTAGGGACTTAAATTTATTGAAGTCTTTAACGGCTCTAGTTGGAGGGGAGGGAATTGTAGGCACGCGCACCGGTTACCGTTTATTCTAAAACTGCCTTGGTACTTGGTGGTTTTGGCAAGACGCAGCCGTAGTTAATCACATTGTCTTGTGAAATGGGAGTGGAGTTGGTGAGCGTACTCAAATTCACTCAGCACACAAGAATGTGCTATTCCATAGACAAGGATAGATTTAAGGAAGTTATAATTATGGCGCGCTTGCAAATGGGGCCAGCCGGCAAATATGGTAGAAAGTTCACGGCCCTCAATTATACATTATACTACAACTATCCCAAACGACCGCCCAGTAGTCAAATAAGGGCCGAACTATCGTATTATATAATGTAATACAACTAGACTTAAGTAAGACTTTCCCAGCGCGCGGCACAGTAACGACAATCTAGAGGAGATCTTCTTGCCTCTTTTAGAGTAGAGTTTGAACATACATGAAAATCCTAGCGTTGATGTTTTTGAAGGTATCAAAGTGTTTAAAGTCCGATTACTTTAACCGGGACCACCTAGACAAAGCTGACCAATCGGATTACAGGAACATAACAATACATTCCAGAAAGTTAGTTGTGTTTCATAATTTAATCAACAACATGGATCGAAATCAACCAATTACAACGTACAGACGTGACATGTAGACATCGACGCAAGTTCATCCTAAGGTATAATTGAACATGTCAAAGCCAGAGATTTTAGCGCGAGCATTTAGTGTGACTTAGGTTTCGTATAAGAGTTGTAGGTGATTAAGAGCACGCGCGTTCATTCTAAAATTTTTTAAATTTAAATTTCAAACGTTATATGTAACCGTTTTCATCACGCGATCATCTTGTTGATGTAAACCTTAACGCTTCAGTGTTATAATTTAGCAGTTAATGAATGAGGCTGAGCAGGATATGAAGAATTAAGCTGATCGGGGAGGGTGTTATCCACCGAGGCCGAAGGTCGAGTTGGATAAAACCCTCCGAGATCTGCTGCTTAATTCTTCATGTCCTACGAAGGCCGAATTCATTAATTGCTTTATTATTCATTCAAAGTAATTCCTAGTTTAAAAACATAGGTAAAACATGCTTACCTGCATCATGTTAAGTTCATCTTCGATAGTGTACGTTTAGGTTTGTCCAGCTCCGCAAATATTCTTCAAATAGCAGATGTCGCCCTTGCTGTTTTTAGCTATTATTTCGCCTAGTTCGAGCTGTACTTTTTACTCTTGAAACGAGTGAAGTGCCCGCCATTTTTGTTGTCACAACCAAAACAACTTACCCTCGTCCCCACGTCTTCTCTTAACGGTAACGGCAAAACGCACTGCGCATGAGCACAAAATTTGACATCCGGTCAGTTTTTTATTTCCGGTCTAGTATATAAACCAATTGCGTAAGCATGACATTGCCGTCGTACCAAGTTTAAAAGCAAAAAGGGAGAAACAGACAAAAAAGGGGGCGAAAAATATCACTTCATTCGAAAGCTTATATATTTTTCTAGCGTCAAACTTTTGCACCACATGTTATCTGTTTGCACCAACGGTGAAAATGATGTTTGAAGTTTGCAGGTCGCGAGCGCTAGACAAGACGAATTTGTTTTTACTGGCTTTCTTGCATGCTACTGGTTTGGCATAAGTTAATTTGGTAGAAGGCGACAACTAAGAAAAGAATAACAATACTTATGAAAGAAACCAAAATGAAGACGTCATCATTATCATTAACACTAAAACCAGGAAATAAAATTTTAGTCCGTTTAATAATTTTTTTTATCATCAGAGAAAACAAGAACTCAAAACAAGAGATGGGCGGGATTTAATAGCAACTTCGACTTTGATGACTGCAGTCACGAACACCCGGAGTTTTCAGTGCCGGGAAACTAAAGATGCCTATACAATGTAGATGACTTTCATTCAAGAAAATGCCTTTTTAATTCTTTTACATGGTTGTTCTTTGGTTGAAGACTTCAATAATGTCAGACTGTGCGGCTCGAGTGCATCTCATGCAAACACGAAACTTCAGCTGCTAAATACATGGCATGAAAATTTCGACTTCTAATAGCCATCGAAACAGCTTTCGCTCTCTGATTCTGAGAATGAAAAAAATTGGTAGAGTTGTGAACTTGCTGCCAACCTCAACAGTATAATTAAGCTTATGTTTCATGGCAATCAACTCAGAAGAGTTTCGTTTCAAAACACGGTTAAAACTTACTGGTAAATAAAACTACAAAGCGATTGCGTGTTGTCGTTTTCCAAATAAAGCTCCAATCGGCTTTAAGACATGAAGACTGAGAAATTGAAGAACTGAAAATTAGAACTACAATACACCAACTTGCAATGATAACTTTTTTTGTCTTAGTTTCAGCCAGGTTAAGTGAAAAATAACAGTCAAAAACCTTGTTTTCGTGAATCAAAATCAGTTTAGCTGACGCTCTAGCCAAAATTAAACACTGAGGTATTATCATCTTTCCTTTTCTGAATCTAATCGACTAATTGTTTCAGTGATTTGTGCCTAGTTATACATAAAAGCAATTTCCATAACCACAAAATAGTCAAAAACACGAGCAGCATGAAGCAGAACAACTGAACCGCAAGCTGCGCACAGAATGAAGCCGAAAGCGCGCGGGAGACTTTGATCTGACTGGAAAGTGTGACTAAAAAAGAGACCGGAAATGCTCAACCTGGCACATGCGTAGACGTTTTGCCCGCGGTGTTACCTGTAGCGGGCTGCATTTCTGAGGTCATTTCCTCGTTAAACACAAAATTCTTCCAAATTTGGTCATCAGTAACTGGTTATGGTGAATTATTCGTGTGCTTTTAGCCAATCAGAATTGGGGAAATATTTTGGATGAATAATAATGGAGTTTAACTCATGAGTGGGTCACCTTTTCGGTGGCCTTAACGGAAACTGTTTTCTGTCTTCATTTGAGATTAAGATATCTATCTATATATATATGTATATTGTTTTTTTTTCTTTTCAATTGACAAGGAGATGAAACAGCAGATGGGGGAGCAACAAATCAGCTTTGCTCATGGATAGCGTCTATTCCGCGAGGCAGGGAAAAGAAATTCTTCTGCAACCCTACCATATTTGGTAGATACCTGTTCATTAGATCACCTGGGCAGAGAAGGATTTTAACTTTCTGTGAGATTAATGTTTTTTCGGACTATAGCCAAGCAAGTAAGTGTTCTTGTTTTTCTTTCGTATTATAGAAGACTTGCATATGCAGTCGAAGCTCTAGTAAGCGATCACCTCGTAAATTCGAAATACCTAGCGCTCAGTCAATGGTCGCTTACAAGAGTGAGCTCTCGTAAGCGACCCCATGTTTAAACAATAGAGCGTGGTCGCTTATGAGAGCTTCAGAAACCGTTAAGAATTTATAAAGAAAAAACAAAAGAAATTAATGTTTAAAGGGGCTGTGTCACGGCAGTCCAGTTAATTTTCTTTAATTTTGCCAATTACTCGCCCTCAATCGCTATAGAACTTAAACTAAACAACGAAATAACATGTAAATGACAAAATCAGAGACCCGAGACAAACAAGTATGTCTCCTAGCATTACTTTTGAGGTTGCAAGCAGCAGGGATCAACTTTGAAAAACTGTTAGGCTGAACAGATTTCAAAAATCCTAATTTCAATCCGTTTCAATCTTCTTCAGTTTTGCCCATCCGTGACATCTGTTGTTTCTGTTATCTTATTTTAACCTTCCTTTAACGTTTTGAGCTGTTATTTTTATGTTTCTCTTAATTTAACGGGCATTTTTAATTTCCTAATTTGGCTGAATTTCGTGACACAACTCCTTTAATGAGTGTCTTTATACATGTATCCGATATTGACACGGCTAAACTTTACGTCCGCTGTTTTAGACCAAAATAACAGGCCCAAATCTAAATATTAGAACCATTGGCGCAGTGCTGGTTCAGTTTCATTAAAGTATTATATGAATAAGACTCTCAGTAGTCGCTTACGAGACCTTACGAACAAAGGAAAAGTCCAGTTGGGTAATCGCAAAAGTGGGCGGGGGTCGTTTGCAGTAGCGGTCGCTTACGAGAGCTTTACATTACACAGCTCAAACGGGGTTTGACAAAGGTGGTCGCAACTAGAGCTGGTCGCTCACTAAAGTGGTCGCAGGAGAGCTTTGACCGTATATTGAAAGTCAGTTAACTGACGTCTTTTGAAGTACCAGTTACAATGAAGAGAATTTCCATAAAACATGATCTCACGTTGCTGGGAAAAGATAAACGAAAAACATTGGTCTTAGATGCGATGATTTAACAAATTTATTTTCATTTAAATACTGCAGTACACTCTGACGAAAGCTTAGGGTACACGTATTTTTATTATTATTATTATTATTTATACCAAGATGTTTTGCAGTACATTATCAAATCCTGGCGATTTTCAGTTTGCCCAACTCAATCTTTGTGAACTCTTACCCTAACCTACATTTTCTTGTTGTAATCAGACTTAGCTCTTGACCAACCTGCCACGCAGAGTTCTGTAGTGGGATACGGTGCACCAGGAGCAGCTGTCGATGGAAAGTCTAATGTACTTTATCGCCACCGTAGCTGTTCACATACAGACCTCCAGGAGGGCCCTTGGTGGATGGTGGACTTGGAGTTTTCTGCTCTTGTTGGTCAAGTCTCTGTTGTTAGCAGGTCTTGTAGTGGTCTCTGTGGAGAATACTTGAAAGCATTTCGAATTATGATAGGTACAGTAAACTCTAATCTTACAATTAACAAATACCTAATTTTTGAGATAAAAGTTTGAGAAATGCTCATTTACATAGATAGCTAAGAGGATATTTCATGGCCGCGCGGAGATACGTAATTTCTCTTCGAGTGTTGAAAATAAAATAAAATTATCTTGAAAATATTTTCAGCACAATACAGTCCTCGTAATACAACAAAAGATGCTTTCTTCTTTATTTGAAAAATAAAGGTTTGAAATTGACTACAAAATCTTACAGGCAGTTGTATATTTGTATCAATCGGAAACAATTAAGGCCCTGTTATTTCAAGACGAAGAAAGATTTATAATTAGACGAAAAGGCCACCTACCCTAGGCATTTGGAAGCATACAGTTTTTCAATTTCCTGGTCTGTTAGGCTATCCAATGTCCTAGGCGTATTTCCCAATCTTTTGGCTTTTAGTTCTTTTTGCTTTGCTTTGAGAGTAGTCATTGTAGTTTTAAGGTATCATCCAGGGTAAAAAATCATCATTTTTCTAAATTTGTAATTTTTAGACGATTAAATAGAGCTCATCAAGAGCTTTCTTTTAAGAAAAATTCCAGAAAAAATGTTTTTTCTTTGCAGACTTATGGAGTGCAAAAGTTTTTTCTATGCTAATTATTTTAATTGATCGTTGACAAGTCCTGTCATACTTGATACGCGTGCCGCAGTTGAACCAAGCTAATCACGCAATTTGACAGAAATCGTGGTTTACAAGTATATTGCTCAGTGTTTTTCCGTGGAGTTTGAAAGTGAACGCCTCCAAAGTAGAAAAAAGAGCTTGTCCGTTTTCGTCCTCGACTTCAAGTCGACAAAAGAAGACGACAAACTCGTTTTGCCGCCAAAGAGTGGGCTTCGAAATTAGCAGAGAGCGACAAGGGCTCCTACTACAATCAACAAAAATGGCTAAAAGATGACAAAGCTCTTGAAAGACCCATGGAAACTACCGCGGAATCGATTAGCGAGCGGAGCCAGCTTTTTAGGCCGCGAGGCAGCCAAGCGAGAGTCACGAGAGGTCCCTGCCATATAAAAATCGGACGAAGTACTGTTTTGAAAGTCTATTGTAGCGGGAAAGAAGCTTCAAGAAAAACTCCAGGAAGCGGTTTGTTGTTGATTTTTCGAGTAAAAGTGGGCAAGGCTCAACTTGGCTTGTCCGGTGCGAAAATGAAAACTGCCCGTTGCAAATAACTAATGAAGCTTTCTCGACAACAGAAAGGATCGAATAGAGCAGAACCTTTGAAATAAATTGTTCATCTGTTGTCGGGTTTCGTTTTCACTTTTTCCTGCTGTGTCACTATTGTTGTCCCCTCTCTGGTATTCATCAACTTTGACAGTTTTGGTGTTATAATCTGTTATAATCTCATCACGGGTAATACGCCGCCAAAAATCTTTTTCCACTGTTTTCTCGAAATGAAAATCAGGGCAAGTTGAGGGTACGTTTTAAACTCCATGTCGGTAACCCGTGAATCAATTTGGCTGAAACTTGGCCAACTTACTGTCAGATAGGTTTTCTAAAAAACCGTGTCTGCGAATTTTGATTTCGTTTTTCGTTTTCGAGTTAGAGTATTTTTTTCACAGGTAGTGCTAATGATTTGCTATCCCTAACTTCACCTGCTTATAACAACAGAACAAACGCACTTGACAAAAATCTGAGACACTGTTTTTTAGTCAAACGCGTTAAGAAGCGAATGCGTTCTTAATTGGTTTCTTCCGTTAATATTTGGCTGGACTGGACTTAAATTTACAGTGACACCCACTTTCACAAAAAGCTTCTCATTTCTAAATCGCGTTAATAGTTTGATTTTTCTAACGAAATGAGCAATAATCTGGAACTATTAAGCTTTTAGAAAATGTACGGTTTATGGGGGTATTTGTTAAAAGCAAAAACGCTAGCGCCGATCAACGCGAGGAGGTTGCTTGAGGGTGATACCTTAAATACACCGACGGTACAAATTGTGAAACCGTAGTTCGGTTTGTTCTTTCTAGCGCCAAAGATGGCGGTAAGGCATAGGTAATCGTTCAGAACGTGTGGTGAAAGCTCATGAAGAGATGTTGAACCAAGCAAGTCAGGGTTTGATGTCTGAATGAAATTGTTAAATAACTCGACGTCGTACGCGGTATTCATCGTTGTATTCGTATTTTCTTTTCCTTTTACGAATTCGATCATAGCCTCATCTGTGATCTCGACAAACCTGCTTAAAAGACCAACACAAAAATTCCGAAAAGACCAAATCACAAGTGCTTGACAGCGTGCGGAAATACTGTGAGCTGATTGGTCAAAAATGATATCACTCATGTGGTTATAGAAATGATATCATCACCGGCGGGATAGCGCATTTCTCGGTTTGCTACTTATCGGTATACCACTAAGTTTTATGATATATAGATTTAGCCAGGGATAAAAGCGAAGCTCTCGATAATATTTATAGTTTGCTCAAACAAAATATAAAATCGTGTAACACAATGCGTGGTTTTCACTTGCGCATAAGCATAAGGACATACGCACGCGCAGAATGACCTATTTGATTCAATTCTCGATACCAGCTCTCCTCAACCCGATGATAAACAAGATGGTGCACGACGCGTCCGCTATATTGCTTTTGATATGTTTGCATGAGGTCTGGGTCAAAGTGACCTATGATTGGTGCACGGCCTTGTGCTTATTTATGCTTGTGTTTATGTCGACCCCATTCTCACTACTCAAAGCTACGACATAGGCATAAGCACAAGAACTACGAAAAAACAACAATAGGGCCATTTATACGAGGAAAAATAAGACGCGTCTTAAATGAGACGCGAACTTTCCGTATAAACGGCACACTTCGTCTAGAATAAGATGCGACTTAGCTAAGACGCGTCTTATTTTAGAACAGCTCTTAACACCTGTTCTTAGATAAGACAAGAAAAACTTCATTTATACGAAGTTTTTCTCGTCTTATCTAAGAACAGGTGTTAAGGGCTGTTCTAAAATAAGACGCGTCTTAGCTAAGTATAAATGACCTTCGCGTCTTATATAAGACGCGAACGCATAGTACGCATGCGTTAATTTTTGGCGGGAAAATTATCGCTTGCCCCGCGATGAACTGGCAGGCTACTGGCGGGGAAAAGTTCTTTACAAATACAACGCGTTTTCGTTTTCTTGTCTATTTTGCTTTATTTGTTTCTTGGCTCAATTATAATGAGCTCGCTGTTAAAGGCAAAAAGAAACACTTGAGTCTAGAACAGAAATAAGACGCAAACCATATACACGAGGTGTTTTCGTCTTAGCTAAGACATGCTCGTATGAATGGTCCAGTTTGCGTCTTATTAAAGACGCGTCTTATTTTTCCTCGTATAAATGGCCCTAATAGGTCTTATTAGAAAAAAAGCAACTTTGCACGTGCAGCACACAGTTTTTTGTACATTTATTTGCCGTTGTTTTGCAAGACTACCTTATTATAGGAAATTAACGCTCCATGAAATTAGCGCAAATCGTTAAAATTCTCGTTAATTTAATTTGCGTTAATTTTGTTGCGCGTTAATTTCCGCGACGTTAATTAAGTGCGGCGTTAATTTCCGCGCTCTTAATTTCCAGTATTTTAACCCCAATTTTGGAACCTGTTCAGACATTCTTGACACCTAAAAAACATTAACTACAAGCTTTCTTTCTTTCCATTACCCTTTATTTTTCATCTTTCACAAAAGCTAAGGAGAAGGTTTACAATATTTCGAGTTCATCTTCATCGTTGTCGCTGTCAGAAGTGATGTCAGCTCAGTTTTGAATTTTTTGTGTACAGTGCTGAAATAAATTTGTTCCAGTTGTCACCACCGTGTCTTAATTGCGTTAATTTCCATTATTATGAAATTCCACCTCCTCTTTCGTGTTAATTTTCTTTATTCGAAAGTCGTTTTCCATTAAATTGGCGTTAATTTAAGTTGTGTTAATTTCCAATACCTTAATTTCATGGAGCGTTCATTTCCTATAGTAAGGTACATCGTGAAACTTCTAGAAACTTCCTAATTACACGTTTTATGGAGGAAATGTCGTACGTGTTCTTGTTCACTTTGTTTTGTCACTGCCGCTCATTTTCACCTTGGTCGCCGCTGGCATTTCTCATTTTCTCCTCGCCGCTACAAAATTTTCATGTTGTTCTTCCGACAAAAAAAATGTCTTCTTTGTTTCTTATCTCTCGCTGTAGCACTCTGTCACTCTTTTTCTCGTGGAGCTTCACTTGCCTGTCGCCTACTTTCTCTTTTTCGGCTCTGTCTTTCTCTTTCTCTATATTCCAAATTTGTGGACATGACAATTGATCTAAGCTTAATACTTTAGGCAATACGGATGCGGAACCAATTTGCGCTTTCCTTTTTCGTCGTGACTCCTTAGTTGTCTCTGCTTCACAAGACGCGGGTGACTATGCGATTTTCCGCCAATAACCTCGAGCTGCACTTGGGTTGCCAACAACAAACAACAACAACAACACACTTTACTAAGAAACAGATTGAGTTATTTTCATTGCCCCTGTACTCTGGAACGGTTTGCCTATTGACAGTAGATCGATCGATGATGTAAATAGATTTAAATCTAAATTGAAGACCTTTCTTTTTAAGCGAGTTTACAAACTATCTTAGGTTTTTTATTTTGTACCTTTGAGACTATGTATATAGATATGTAAATGATTCTAGGGTTTCTAATTTTTATCCAGACCTTTTGAAGCATTGTAAAGCGCTTAGCACTGAAACGTATAGGCGCTATATAAATATATTATATTATTATTATTACATTGGTATGCCTGTGGTGCGGACGGACGGCGGGTGGACGGCCTTTCGGTCACGTGATTACCAAAGTATCTCGGATGGGTAGATTACCACATTTTCTTAGGTATAGAGCTACCACTAGTGGAATTCCGCTGTTATAAAAAGTAATGCCCTAAGTTATCAATAGCAATTCCACGAATAAAAATTTTCTCTATCGTGTTTGTAGGTGATAATGACCAAAATGGAGGTGTTACAAATCCGAGTTGTGGAGGAGAACATAGTATAAACCCAGGAGCAAAAAAGTCATTTTACTGTTTGCCTCGACTTCTTGGACGATATGTCACTATACAGATTCCTGGTAAAGACAAGGTTCTACAACTTTGTGAGGTGGAAGTATACTCCTCGACCTCAGGAACACTAAGTACAGGTATCTCAGTTTTACAAGTTTATTGAAGTTGGGTTAATCATGATCTATCCTTTGACATATTATGCTCCGCCATATTAGAACAAGTTTGTTTTTACTGTTTCACTTAATAGGATATTTCGCTGGGAGATCATCCGAAACCATGAGGTGTTTTGAGAGATCGTCTGCTACGTGCTTCCAGTTTTCGTCTTGTCTTTCAGTTGAATTGCCTTGTTTCAAACCGAACATGGCTAGGTACTAGTCCGTCCATTATGGGATAAACAACACGAGACCCACATAGTCAGAAAGAACACATTGAGGTTAGAAAACATCTCATTTTTGGTGTCAGTCGGCCCAATATTGAACATGATACAGCTAATTAAACACTTGAAATTTATGAAAGGAGTTATCAGACACACCGTCTGGACGTCGATATTCCTTAAATTTTGGAGTTTTTGAATCGCTGCATCTTGTTCAATATAGGCCTGATAAACACCAAACTTAAGAGTGTTCCTAAATTCAATGTGCTCTTTCTGACTACGTGGTTATCGTGTGGTTTGATCCCATAATAAACAGACTCGACCCAGCCCCCCTCGGTTTGAGATTAGGCAGTGATTTCATTCCCGGTTCCGTATGCTCACCCCGTCGCTCCTGGGATTCAGCATGTTCCAACCCATGTTTATTCTTTGTCCTTCTAGGAATAGAGTAAGCTATTCAAAGTGGGGCAGAGCTGCAAATACTGTATATGGTGGCCATTGGACAATGCCTAAATGAGACTTAGCCATGTCCGACGCAACCATAACTGCGGTCTCACATGATGACCAGACAGACTAATGGCTCAGTCTATTCCAAGCGTCCCATCCCCCTCCCGGGCATTTGTCGGGCGTCTGTCATCTTGTCGGTTCCGGTGGTGGGGGATTTGTCAGAAAACCTCTACCCATGGGTGGCCGGTGGGGCATTTGTCAATTCTTTTAGACGAGATTGATATCGTTCCTTTTTTAATATCTCTTTTACAAATATGCCTATGTAAATAGCTAAAGAATATTTTAATACTTATGCTTTAAAAAGACACGGCATCCACGACCCTACCCCACTGTATTTTTTTGCATCCGTCTAAGAAATATTGCTTCCCGCCTACGCGATCAGTTTGCACATGGAACAAAAACAATCAGTGCATCGTTTGAAGAATTTAAAGGGAACGGCACTGTCTTTGTGAGCGAATGGTTGAGGCAGAAAGGCCTATAAAAACTCTGCGAGATACTTGAAAACTGATGACTTCGTGTTGTGTGTGATCAATGCGACACGTTGGAGTTTTTGACGGATCAACAGTTCTATTGTGTTGTTTTGATTGGCGGACATACCCTGGCAGATATCACAGGAGGAGTCCAAGAATATTCTTTTTTCCTTACCTTTCTTTCTTTTTTTTTCAAAAAGACTACCTCTGATTTTGTTTATTGCCACCCAAACTGCATTTTTGCAGGAGTCACTTCTTTTAAATATGCGTAATGCCTTGTTCTAGGATGCAACTATAACCCGGTTGGACTAGAAGATAGCTCTAAAATTCCCGACAACCAGTTCACTGCCTCGTCATCTGCAGATAACAAATTCCCATCAATGGGCCGCCTAAAAGGAGCAGCGTCATGGCTACCCAAAAACACGCTTAGTGACGATGACTTTTTGCAAATTGACCTGGGATCTACTTACTCTCTATGCGGTGTAGCCACGCAAGGTTCTCCAATAGCGAATGAGTGGACAAAAACGTACAAGATTATGACATCGTTGGATAATTTAACTTGGACAGCATATGCTGAGAACAACAGCGTGAAGGTTTTAGTTCTTCAATAAATATTCATATCTTATTAAACGCTGTAGTATGTAGTATCGTAAGGTGTTTGTCACGTGGTTGGCAAGCTCGTAGGGAGAGTCAAGGAGGCGAACAAAAATATCTCAGGACACTACAAACTAAACAGTCCAATCATAAGAGATTTTTTAATCAACTTACATGAGAGGTTACAGATTGTAATGATAATGTTGCGAGCAGATTTTGGGCAGTAGAACATAATGGAAGCAGTAAATGTATAAAGAGATTTTGATAATTTCATAAATTTATCTATCGGGTCAATTTCCATCATTTTAGAATTATATAATATTACAACTTCGTTGTATTTGTGAAGTGAAAAATGCAAATATTTCGAACAGTAAATGTGCTGAGGGTAGTGGTGGATCCAGACTGGAAGGATAGAGGGTTGTGGGTCAGTAATAATTAACTAGAGAGCCCGGTCTTGCAAATAGTTTTTGTTGGTCCTGCAGGGCTTGTTTTGGTGTGTGAGTGTTTTTTTTGGGGGGGGGGGGGGGGGATGAGATTGATGTTGGCTTCCCCTGGATACACCTCTGGAAATATGGATACAATCACATTTTTTTGGGATCAAACGTCAAAAACAATAATGGTATAGATGTTTTTTCTGCTTAGTGCGTGGATTAAAGTTCCAAGGGACTTTTGATATGTTAAACTTGTCGGATGCCGATTCCGGTTACTGAAGACAACGGAAAATAACAGTTATTGTGAGACTTCGAGAGTAAAATTGCCTTGATACAAGCTTATTCTGGTATGAGACTTGGAGAGTGAAATTGCCTTGATACAAGCTTAATCTGGCATGCGTGTGAATTGAAGGGAGATTTTGATTGCAGATCGGAAGTCACTTGAAGCTTTTTACCATACATTATTAAAACTATGACCTTTTCTTTCAATATGACATTCTACTTTCGATTATTTTTCTAGCAATTACACGTACAGAACGATATAGTAAATTTAAGATGTAAAGTCAACCCAAGGAAATTAGAAACGGATATGATGTCCTTGCAACAGCTCAACAACAAATAAGTCAAATAGAAAAAACTATAATTTTAAATAACTGACATCGTGAATGGATACAGACACAGTTTTTTTGGAATTTGACGCTAAGAATAACCGAAACAGTAACAGAAACTTTGAACATCAAGGTAACTTAATGAAAATAGGCTGAGTTGGCTGAGAGAGAGATTAGTATTGTCTTCTTACTGTAAATGGCTGTAAACACGTCTCGTAGAGTTGATTTTTTTTTTTGCATTAATCTGATTACGTTGGAGGCGGTCCGTTGTTCAATTGGCAAAACTCTGAGCACGTAACGACGCTGAAAAACTCATAAAAGAACACTGTCTTCCCCGTGAAATGTCACTAATTCGTTCGAGACCTTGATGAATGATTTCAGCAACAATAAGTTTGAATTTGGCATGATACATTTGCAAATCGGAAACACCCTCACCTTGACATCGAAGAAGCAAAGCGAGAGAAGAGAGCACGTGCTATGGACGGCAAAAGACGCACCCAGATCCAGGCGCATCTAAGTTATGATGACACTGCTGGAAGTACGCTTGCTCAAAATCATCGTGACACACAAAAATCGAGACTGTTAACATAAGATAAGGTAGAGGACCCAAGAAACCACAGGCATACGAAAGATTAGTGTGCCTGCTCGCCTGGGGGCTCGCAGCAACAAGCACGAATATTATAGTGAGAATGCATAACAAACTGAAAATTATCGGGGGTGGGGGGTGGGGGGCTGGGTTTAATTCAGCTTTAGGGGAAACACAATGTTAAATAGATGACACACAGTGAAAGAATATAAAGAGTCATGCAAAGAATACCGATGAACATGAACTTTTAAAAGACCGTCTAGCAGGTAGAGAAATTATTTTAAAATGAAATTAGAAGATTTTTTCGCTCGAGAAATCATCAAAAACAATCTATTTGAAGAAAGGACGCCACGCAAAGAAAAAGTTACAAGTTAAATTTGTAATTCCTTGAATATAATCAATGCCCATATCATGTTTCGTTGTATTAGATTTAGCGACACTCTTCACGAGCAATTTCTTCCCTCTTGTACGGTTATTAAGTTCCTTAACAGATAGCATCATCGTGTATACAGTTAAACGCTTATAATAATGCGCATTGTATTGTCACAACTAAACTTTACCAACCAGTGTTATTTTGGCTGCTTTTTATAAAACAAGAGAAATACATTATTTAGCAATATTGGTGACCTAAAACAATGAGACATCGGCCATATCATGTTGGTGTCCCAAACTAATCCTGTGAGAGTGTATCCTTATTTTATGTAAAACTCTCTTTTGCTCCAATACGTTTGCATAGCTAGCTGCCGGCAACGTGAGTGAAAACGCTCTATAGAAATGAAGACTACTCTGGAAACAATTTTTGAAGCTGTTTAAAGACTCTCAGAAAGTGTTTACTTTTTATTGCAATCCGTGCTCGAAATTTCAACATAAAACACTAATGCTTGTGTTTAACACTAAACGTTATTTTTTTTCTATGTTTATATTTTTTAGATCTTCAAGGGCAATGACGACAGATCATCGCTTATTAAAAACGACCTTTATCATTCAACTCTGGCAAAATTCATTCGCGTATACCCTTTGTTGTATGAAACTCATAAGGCATTAAGAGTTGAAGTTTACGGCTACGCTAGAGGTAGGATGTGACTTAAGTTAGGGCCTGTGTACATGGAGATGGTGGAACCCAGATAGGTGGGGTAACATGTGGCGAGTCACCTCACCTAACATGTAAACGTGATCAAATTAAAATGAGAGATTTTATGGACAGGCGAGTTACCCCACCTAAGCGGATTACGTTTCCTACGTGGGGTCCCCCACCTCCATGTAAACAGGCCCTTAGATCACATACATCGCCCCATGTAAGGGAATCCAAGACAGTCTTGGATCAGTCTGGGTCCCACGCTTTTTTTCGGGTTTCTAGCCTGAGTCACAGACGTGATTTAACCTTGGTAAGTAACGTCTGCGCAGCAGCGCCGAGATCCTTGTTCTGGGTCCTCAACGTATTCAACGAATTACCGGAAGTGGGCGCGTTTCGAATTTCCTTTCATCCTGATTGGCAATTCGATAGTGGCTTTTTTAAACACGAAGGCGCGCTATAAATCAATCACGGCGCGTGCTCAAACCCTGGTACACAGGTGAGGGCTCAGAACAAGGTGATTTCGGCGCTCTTTCGCAGACGGACTAAACCAGAGTTCAGTTTCGTCTGTGGCGGAGGCTGCGGATTCCCTGAGCTGTATTTCAGATTCCAAAGCCCAGGATTTACATTTTCACAAGCAAAAACTTCACGGATTCCGTTTCAAAAACAGGTTGTAACCCACACTCTATATAAGCGGGTTAGACGATGTGTGATAATATACAAAGTTATTGTTCTAAATTATTTACTCTGAAAAGGGTGTAATCCAACCATGTACCTGCCTCTGCCACTTTTGGAAAATATTTCATCGATTTCCCCAACGTTTTGTTAAGAGCTGCTTTCGGTTTGAAGTATGTTAACCGTACCTTGGAGATCAGTTCTTATCAAAAACGATGCGGAAAAAAATCCACTGCACTCTTTAAAAGTGCTCTTGTTGCGGGCTATACCGAGGTATCGACAATCCGCAGACATCGAAAGCAAATAATTATCAAAAGTTTTTTTTTTTGAAGGATCATACTTAACTGAATGTCCCTCTGGATTTGACGCTGACTGCGTTCCACATGACCCACTTAATCCAAATTGTAATGGTAAGAAGTAAACAAACTGTGTTTAATATATAAGAAAATAAATAGCTTGCTTTCATAGCTATAGAGACATTTACGAGCTAGTGTTCCATTTCTTAGACTTTCGTGAGAGAAACCATGTTTCCGCAGGGCGGAAACGTGACGGACATAAGCAACTCTATGTTTCCATCGAGTTTACAAAAATAGGGAAACACGTTAGTTCGTGCTGTGCCGTGTCAAGTGCTTTTGACAATCAATATATAAGTCCGTTGTATACTCATAGGTTTTCAATAGGGTCAGTTAACTCATTTTATTTGTAATCTGAATCATTTCTATGGAACTCACGTTGTTCCTTGCCAGAGTCTATGTTTAACAATATACTATGAGCTTAAATGGAAGGATTGTAAGTTTTCGGTGCTTTACACACGTGCTGAAATAGACTTTCTAAATGTCCTTATTTTTTTCTTGGTTTATTATGCCACTTGAAATTACCTGTTTGGCGCGAAATTCACCAGTGGAAAATTCCACCGGCGACGTGATGAACCAATTAGAGACCTTAAGATACCCCTAAATCGGTGTACGGGTAACGGGTAGCGCCATGTTTTCATTTTGTGGTGACGTCATCGACCTTACCCGGTAGAACCAGCCGTTTTTCCGGGGTAGACACCAGTTTACCCGTAGAAGATTTACGAGTAGCTGCAAGTCCTACATGATGGAGAAACGAGTAAGTTTTTACGACTTTTTAAGTACAAATGTAAATTGTATGACTCCTTGGCAATGTTATTGCAAGTCTGTTCAAATATTTTTTCCAAATTTGAATTTTAGCTGTAAAGAAAGCGCTTCAAAATGTATTGATTTTGGACCTCAAATGCGCAGGTTGAACTCTGACACGATATCAATTTGTGGCGGTATTTGGGGGAATTTCTGAGAATTGCTCGAACGTTTGAGTTTCGCAAAAGAAATAGCATTGAAAAATTTAGCATGGGAGTCACTGTTGAAGTTGACAATCAAAGGAATTGTTTGGTGATGTGCCTCGATCAAATGGCGGGGTTTGCGATAAGCTTTCGGTCGAGGGACTTCCCGCCAAGTTTCTTAAAATCTTCTATGATATTTCAATAAGCTTATGTATGAATGAATTATTTGTTGCATCTTGTTGTTAAGATATGAAGTGTATAATTTGAGGGAGATTTTGTATGCATTAAACGACATGCATGTACAAAGTTAATTTTGCGTGCTTGTTCTTCGGGCATCTTATTCGAAATAGTCACGCACATGAACATTTTACGTGTACGGGTACACTACCCGTACCCGTACACCGATATCGGGGTATCTTAAGGTCTCTAATAGGAGAGTGAGTTCCCGACACAGCATATGTCAATCATTTTCTCCTCGTGAATTTGTAATGTGATTCAAAACCATTCAGGAAAGTCGACTTCGTGATATCGTATCTCGTTCGGTCGCTGCGCGACTTCGTTGAAGGTCAGTTTGCTGACTTTTAAGAACTTATGCGTGGTCGACTTATGGCAAGATAATACTGTATATATCAAATGGTACAGCTACGCCGTTTGCTAAAACATGGTTACCTGAAACAAACAGGGATAAATAGTTGAATGAAAAGCGTTTATTGTTTTATTGGTGACAAAGAGTGTCCACTTTAAAGGTCTATTTTTTGTTGTAGAAATCACAAGTGATTCACTCCAATTCATGTAGAATTTTCTTCTGTAAACGTTCTAGATGTAGACGAATGCCAGTCCCAAAATGCATGTGGAGCCAATCATGTTTGTAATAACACCGTTGGGTCGTACAGGTGTGAATGTCCAATTGGATTTACGGCTGATTCTGGTGTACAGGACCCACTGAATCCAGTTTGTGTAGGTAAGTAGAAGTGCAAAAATTATGAGGAGGTAAGATGCTCTTTCCCATTATACCAAAAAATAAAAGACAACAGATGAATCTTGACCAAAGGGTAAAATCTTCTTGTAAAGACAAAACAGTACATGTCCGAAGCTTTAGATTTACACGACCAGCTGCAGTTAAAAAGGGTCATACTTAATAGACGCGTAACAGATTCCTAATTCTGAAACATTTCCGGCTTTGGTTAAACCAGGTACTAAACGAAATTTAGCCCTAGTCAGTAACTTTTCGTCAGAATTTACGGTGAGGAATTTTGTGAAATGCAACGGTAAAAAGGTTTTTCTCCGGGTACTTCGGTTTTCCCCTCTCCTCAAAAACCAACACTTCCAAATTGCGATTCGATCTGGAACGTACGGACACGATTAAACTAAGTTCTTCGTGGGTAAACAAACTAAATTTTTTTAAAGCAAAAATTTTCCATGTTTAGAGTTTCTTCTTTTTCCCTCGTTTCTTCTTCTTCTTCTTCTTCTTCTTTATTACTTTTTAATTTTATCATCTTCAATTTTTTTGTGAAGCATGCACAATGTGTGATGTAATCTTTGTTCTAACTACTGGTTTGTAGTATTATTGTTTTACCTTGGCACATATTTATATTAGCGTTGTTTGTTAATGGAGAATTTTTTACCCTCTGCAGATGTTAACGAATGTCTGTTCCAAGATGCCTGTGATGCTAATTGTGTCTGTAATAACACCGTCGGATCGTACAGATGTGAAAATTGTCAAAATGTAAATGGTAAGTATCCCAGCTGGTCCATCCCTACTTGCTTCATTAAGTGAATTTTGTATACTTTTGCCATTACGATGCGCACCGGGCCGTACGGCCAGATCATATAATGAATTTATACCAATCCAATCTTCGAAGCTTGATGGACGATGGCCCGTCCTCTTTTCTTCAGGGGATGTTTCTGGTGAATTTTATTTGTAGCCTTTCTCAGATTTAGACGAATGCCAGTCGCCAGATGCCAGCCCCCAGGTGCTCATATTTTTGTTGTGGATTCTTAAATCTATACAAGTACAAGTGATATAAGCAGTAGGGATGAAATTGTCCGGAGGAATATCATTAACTTGCGGAACAATACATAAACGCTGCGGTGGATTCTCACTAAGTTAACGTTATGTGCTATTTTTAAAACTTGTTTGGCAGGTTTAAGATGGATGACGTCATCGCTTTTTGACTAAATGTGGAGGTTTCTCTTCTTCTTCCCTTTTGAATATTTTTAGTACAAAGAAACAACACATACACATTGCCTTGACCGGTTTTAACCTGTTTGTCATGTTCTAGTTTTATTTAACTGGTCTGACAGGTTTTCTAGGTATTTTAAAGTCGATGAACGTCTTGGTTTTCGATTTGTTGACTAGAAACTGAGAAAGGTAGTCATTGGTTAATTTATGGTGTGTACTGATATTTAGATGTTGATGAGTGCCAGTCCCCAGATGCTTGTGGAGCCAATCTTGTTTGCAATAACACCGTTGGCTCGTACAGGTGTGAATGTCCAGTCGGATTTGTTGCTGATTCTGGAGCACAGGATCCCATAAATCCAGTTTGTATCGGTAAGGAGAAAAGTAATGATAAGTGCTGAAGATAAAAACGAAAAGAATTTGAAAGCTTTTACGTGCATGAGGAGACTTGTCCTTATTCCAAACAAACTGTAGGAGAATATGACACCGTAGCATTGAATATTGATAACCCTTGCTGCTGTAGAACTGGTAGGCTACGCTGTTTACAGCCACCTCCCCCCAAACAAAATCTCTCTCCCTAATTTTGTTTGAGGGGAGGGGGTAGCTTTATACAGGCCATAATGGCGCTAATAATTATTCATAATGAACGAAATCTGAACATAATTATATCTGGAAGTTTTCTAAATATCAGTCTCCAAAACCTCGCATCCTGCAATGTTGAAAAGCTGAAATTAGTGACGTAGAATTTAGTTACTGTCTGGTGCATGCTCAATGTTTGATATATTTAACATGTGCAAGAGTATTTTTTTCATAACTTCTGCAGATGTTAATGAATGCCAGTCTCCAGATGCTTGTGGAGCTAATTCTGTCTGTAATAACACCGTTGGCTCGTACAGGTGTGAATGTCCAATCGGATTTGTTGCTGATTCTGGCGCACAGGATCCCCTAAATCCAGTTTGTATCGGTAAGGAGAAAAGTAATGATAAGCGGTGAAGATAAAAACGAAAAGTTTTTGAAAGTTTTTACGTGCATTATGGGACTTGTCCGTATTCCAAACAAACTTTAGCAAATATGACACCGTAGCATTGAATATTGATAACCCTTGGTGCTGTAGAACTGGTAGGCTAGGCTGTTTACAGCCACCTTCCCCCAAACAAAATCTCTCTCCCCAATTTTGTTTGAGGGGAGGGGATGGCTCAATACAGGCCAGAATGGCGCTAATAATTATTCATAATGAACGAAATCTGAACAAAATTAAATCTGGAAGTTTTCTAAATACCAGTCTCCAAAACTTCGCATTCTGCATGTTTAAAAGCTGAAATTAGTGATGTTTGATATAAATTATTTAACACGTTCAAGGGTACTATTTTTCTAACTTCTGCAGATGTTAATGAATGCCAGTCTCCAGATGCTTGTGGAGCCAATTCTGTCTGTAATAACACCTTTGGGTCATACAGATGTGATTGTGCAAATGGTTTCGTTGCTCACTGCGGTCTACAGAATTCACTAAATCGAGGTTGTGTTGGTAAGAACTAAATAAACTGTGTTAAGAAAGTGAGTTAGCTATTGCAAAGAGATACAAAGCCGTAGATTGTAGCTTGTATCTGCCCCCCCCCCTCCCCGGGGTTTCATTTCCTTATTTGGCCTAAATGGTTATCTGCCGCTGAACTGGGTGTATGGGTTTCAAGGGGAAAGTACGCATCTCCAAGGTCTTGAGCTTTAAACAGGGTATACAAGTTTACTATTTAGAATCTTATTTTATATCTCGGTTGAGCTAAACTGCGTACCGGTCGGAAAAAAAAATGGTCATGTGCACTTGAAAAACAAGAAAGACATACAGTAAACGCCCGCATATAGAAACAAATGGATTAAGAACGCCAGGCTGAAATCTGGCCAATAAAGCCCCATTTCTATAAGAACAAGATCAGCCTGAAAATTGTAACATGTTCTTATAAAATGGAAAAAGTGTCATAATTATAAAACATGTAAGTTTATGTTTGCTGTCAGATTATTTCATTTGTTAATATAATCAAATCACAGAATAATTATTTATTTTAATTTCCTAAAATATGCTAAATATACCTCTAGCAACATGTTTTGGATAGTATTACTAGATAAAAATTTAAGAAGATTCAAAGAGTCATTTTATAAGTAGGTTGAGTATGATCACTGTCAATAACAATAGTCCTATTCAGGACTACATTCACCCGAACGATCATACTCAACCTACTTATGAAAGATATATTAGTTGAACAAAACATGTTTGAAGAGATGAGTAAGGTAACTCTTCTTTGAAAATTTTCACACCTCCCTGGTGCCTTGAAGTAGAGAGGGAGAGAGGAGGTACAGATTGCCAAATAAATGACACTTTTCCTACGTTAAGGCAACATGGATTGATTCTTGTGCAGTCTGCTTTGCTCTATCCTCACGGCTTAAAAAAAGTCATAGCATCTCTCGTATCATGTTACTTTCGTAGATTTAGACGAATGCCGGTCTCCAGATGCTTGTAGAGCCAATCACATTTGTAATAACACCGTTGGCTCGTACAGGTGTGAATGTTCAATCGGATTTGTTGCTGATTCTGGTGCACAGGACCCACTGAATCCAGTCTGTGTCGGTAAGAAGTTTAATCTGAAATATATAAAAGTTTCTTAACCATACAAAAGAAAACAGAAGAACCCCGGCTAGAACTTTTTTCCAAAGAAAAATATCTGTGGATGCGGAAGGGAGGGAGCGACTTCCATGCGCTCGTGTCACGAAATGATATTCCTGCCTTTTAATAACGTTTAGTTTTCCTTTTTGATATCTTATACTTTGAATGTGCTCATAGATATCGTGCAGATTCTTTTTTCGCGTGAAAAAGTGCCCTAAAATGTGTCTAAAAAATAAACTGCTCCGTAAAAACACCGTGACGTAGGCCTAGTATGGGAGTTGCTCGGTCCGAGTTATGGGCTTCTGGTGGATGTCAATCAACCAAAGGCAGAGCAAGATACGTCACTAAAAGGGTTTGATCAAACTTGCATTTTAAAAGACTGTCAAGCAACGCTTCATTCAATCAAAGAAGGAATCAATCAACGCTCTTTTTGATAAAGTAAACTTTTAACAAATAAAACACTGAAACGGTGATGCGCCAACGAAAATGAAGTATCTGCTACAGTGGATTCTTTCTAATTGTAACAGGGTATTACAATCAGGCTAACATCAAGCGTTCCCCGTAGGTTCTATTAATTACTAATGGATTATTTACAAAAAATGTCTACATGGGGGGGGGGGGGTGTCATCCGGACCCTAAGATAAGGGAAAGCGGGGGCCGGTCTTCTTCCGGTAGTTTTTTCGGCCCTTCTGGCCTCGGTTTCGTCTAAAAAGCAAGGGGGTCCCCTGGATCCACCACTGGCTCTTTCGCCGACACAAAAACCGTATGTATCGGATAGAGCCTCTGTTCACATGTGAGAATGTTGTGAAACGAAGCTGCCCATGGCCGATCTTCAAAGTGGATCGTCACATATCAGATGAGGTTACTGTCGGCCACTATTTGGCGCCCTGTGAACAGGTGATAATACCGCTATACCCAATACATTTTCTTTTAGACATTTAAAGCTATCCAGTGTAAAAATAGCCTGAATCTGTTTGTCGCCGACGCAGCTAGTGTACCTCATCAAATCCAAATTAATTAATCTGCATTCCTACTTACTTAACGAGCAGTGATGGGTTAACTGCTGCAACTTCCTAGCTTGCCCTCGATTGACTTTAAGCTTTGGTGATGTCAAGTTCTATTTTATGTTGTGTCTAGCTGTAAATGATCTGTTTTGTTTTTCAGTTGTTTTAGATTTATGATGTCATAGTTAACTTCTTCTGTTATTAAAATTATAATTTGTCAGTATCTAAGATCTGCAGGCAAGATAAGCACATGGCCTGTCAAAGCAATGGTTTCTGTCCATTTCGCCCGCGAAAGCTTTGATAATCGAAACAGATTCTGTCTGTTTATGAATACTTTTCCTCGTACCCTCTTTACCCTCTTTAGATTTTGATGAATGCCTGTCTCCAGATGCTTGTGGAGCCAATTATACCTGTAACAACACCGCTGGCTCGTACAGATGTGAATGCACAACTGGATTTGTTGCTGCTTGTGGTCCACAGGTCCCACTTAATCCAGTTTGTATTGGTAAGAAGTTCATGAAGTTTGTTGGAAAATTTAGTTAGCAGCTGTGAACAGAATCGAACGCGAACGTCTCGTCTGCTGACTTAGAAGACGGATGGTCGCTTGTTAGTTTTTTTTCTATTCTTTCCTGATGGAGCTACCTCTTTTGAAAACATTGTCACATGAGGATCAACTAGTTCAACTGAGAGATAAACGTCGTTTGATTTTACGGTGGCTAAGAGTGTTGATTTGAAAGTCATTCTTTGCAGTAGGTTTTTTCGATTTTGCCGGTTGCCTTGATGTAAGGAGGAGCTTCAGATTTCGTTGTCGGTTGAAATATCTATTACATGTAGGTGTGATAATATTTGCTTTATTCGCAGAGTTAAGACATGTGCGGTTTTAGATGCTACATGGCCTTTACGTTTTGATGGACAAAAAATATAAGGTTCTTTCCATTTTATGTGGAATTTCCCTTGTAACCTTCGTAGATTTAGATGAATGCCAGTCCCCACATGCTTGTGGAGCCAATCATGTTTGTAATAACACCGTCGGATCATACAGATGTGAATGTCCAATCGGATTTGCTGCTGACTCTGATGCACAGGACCCACTGAGTCCAGTTTGTGTCGGTAGGAATTTAACTAGTGTTGAAGTAGTGGACTTATCTCATACAGACAAAAGAAAACAAGTCGACTTTTTACGTGAGAAACCAGAGGAACTAAGGCTGTATTCACACTACACCTGATAGCCCTTGCGCCAGCACGAAAATCATACCAGAAAGGGCGTCTGTTCACTTAAATATAAAAGCGGTGATTTCCGCGCCATTTCAGTAACGGCGCAGCTGATCTCGAAAGTAGAGCTTCACATATCGGATAAGCTCTGTGCAACACTTTGGTGCAGCGTGAACAAGTATTGGGATTGAAGCAGGAGTAAAAAGTAGGATCGGGGAATGTAATCCACGGAGCCGGAAGTAAATTGTGAACATAGCTTTAAATATAATACAGTGATGAAGTTAACTGTTCACAGCAGGATCAGGAAACAGCAAGTTCAATTGAGGGCAATACAATTCCGTTAAATTTGTAAATTTTTTTTGACTAGTTCACGACAAACATGTCACTGACACAATACTAAAGATAAGTGAATAAATATTATTAGCAACAGTAATAAAAATGTATATATGATATATAGGCGGGTATAAACCAAAGACTTATGGTAAGAAACCCTTGAATTATGCTAAATAGTGAGAACTATGAACGAAAACTGTAAAACCTGGAACTTTCCTAAACAGCAGTTTCAGATTAACCTCAGAAATAGCAATGCTTAGAATTTGGAATGATTGAAAATTCAAGTGTTCTCTTCTGTATTACATGAATCTATTGTCTTTCATTTTTAGCTTTCAACTCTCCGTACAATGTATGTTATTGCTTTATCTATATGATAGCTTCTCTGATAGCGTGTCTTCGTTCGTTTACGTGCAAAATGTTTCGTAACCACTACAGATGTTAATGAATGCCAGTCCTCAGATGCTTGTGGAGCCAATCTTGTCTGTAATAACACCATTGGATCCTACAGATGTGAATGCTCAACTGGATTTGTTGCTGATGACTGCGGTCCACAAAACCCGCAGTATCCAGTCTGTGTCGGTAAGAAGTTAATAAACTGTGTTTATTCGAATTCTGTCAGAGGAAATGAAAGGATGGTGATTTGAGTGTGGTTTAAGCTAATATTTCGCGTCATGTAAGGGAATCCATGACTGTCTTGGATTCTGGATTTCATGCCGTGGATTCCGGAATCCGTGTAATGAATTCCGGATTCCAATCATTAGTGGGATTCAGGATTCCAAAGCTCGGCATTCCGCGGATTTCAGAGGCAAACATTTCCCAGATTCCGGAATCCGGTTACCCTTGCATGGGCCGAAATTTTGCAGCGACGCCATTGTTGATAGCTTGCGTCATATGAAAAACAAGGGAAGGTCAGTAAAATGAAAATGATTCATTTGTTCCAAGGGGACAAAGAAAAGGGCTTTGAAAGGTAATTTCATGTCGTAGATTTGTACTGCGTTCCGTGATGCCTTGAGTCACGTGCCGGAGATCGGTTGTGTCGATCGGCTGAATGAGACCTGTAAATATCTTGAGTATGAATCGCGTGTGATATATGTATATTATGCTTTCATCATCTTGCATGGTTAAAAGGTTATTCATTTATTTTTGTAACTTTCCAGATTTAGATGAATGCCAGTCCCCAGACGCTTGTGGAGCCAATCGTGTTTGTAACAACACCGTTGGCTCGTACAGGTGTGAATGTTTAAATGGATTTGTTGCTAATTCTGGTGCACAGGACCCGCTGAATCCGGTTTGTATCGGTAAGAAGAAACATTATCTAAGAATAGGTGAAATTGTCTTATGCAGACAAAAGAAAACTAGCCGAAAGTTAAACATCACATGATTCTTGTCCTCATCTCAAAGGAACCCTAAGGTGGCTAATAACCCAGTCCCCCAAACCTTACCTGGTTAACAAAAGGAAGCCTACAGTTAATTTCACCATTCGTGAATGGCTTAACGGACACAGGAATCATTTCATAAGTATTCGGAATATGATCGTCCGTCTGAGTGAAGTCATCCCTGAATAGGACTGTTTATTGTTGACAACGACTGATGTTTCGACCATCTGTGCGGTTGTCTTCTTCAGAGTCAAAATGAGTTGAATCACGTCACTTGCTGGTAATAAACTCTAGTTTTTGACCTGATAGATCAATTGTTGACTATATACTTTCCGTGAAGAATTTTCTTGAGTTCGTTCTATACGTTTTCGTCAAAGATATTGTAGTATATTATGAATTGGGAGACTAAATATGGGGCCTTTAAAAGGCTTTTTTTGCCAATATTCGTAATTGGTTGATTTCCTTAAAAGCAATTAGGTTTATCAACAGGATACAGGAGAATATTTATGTAGACGAAATAAAATCTGAAATTTCCTTCAATTTTCCTTTAAAAATCAGAATCTCGAGTCCCTTTTGTGAAATAGACAATTGAAATAGACAAATGTATATCTGAGACTGAAACGATCATTTGTGAAGTGCCTCAAAGCTCTGTTCTTGGACCTTTGCTATTTTTGCTAAATATTAATGACATCCATAAATCTTCCAAGGAATTTACTTTTTACCTCTTCGCAGATGATACAAGTCTAACCTTTGCAAATGACAACTTACGTAAGTAGTATGGGGCGTACCGGTTACTCCACTTGTTTGGGCAGGAATACATTAATGCCAATGACGTCATAACCTTTTGTCTTTATCTCATGAGTAAAATGCAGCTATTTGTGTGCTATTTTTAGTTGGTTTAGGTTTTTTAGTTACCCTGAGGTCGATAAATGTTTTCGATTGGTTAGTTGCCTTAAAATCACTGAGACGTAACGTAATTATGCAAGTCCTATTTCCTGCTGCTGTGATTGTCCTAGTTCCGGTTTACTGATTTTTGGCGGGCAAATCGTGCATATTAATGAGCGCAAAGGCAAACTAGCTATTTTTAGCCCACACCACTCCTACTCCACATTTCTATTGTTTTCCCTCCTCCTCCTCCTCCTCCTTCTCATTTCTATTGTTTTCCCTCCTCCTCCTCCTCCTCATTTCTATTGTTTTCCCTCCTCCTCCTCCTCCTCATTTCTATTGTTTTCCCTCCTCCTCCTCCTCCTCATTTCTATTGTTTTCCCTCCTCCTCCTCCTCCTCATTTCTATTGTTTTCCCTCCTCCTCCTCCTCATTTCTATTGTTTTCTCTCCTCCTCCTCCTCATTTCTATTGTTTTCCCTCCTCCTCCTCCTCCTCATTTCTATTGTTTTCCCTCCTCCTCCTCCTCCTCATTTCTATTGTTTTCTCTCCTCCTCCTCCTCCACATTTCTATTGTTTTCTCTCCTCCTCCTCCTCCTCCTCCTCATTTCTATTGTTTTCCCTCCTCCTCCTACTCCACATTTCTATTGTTTTCCCTCCTCCTCCTCCTCCTCCTCATTTCTATTGTTTTCTCTCCTCCTCCTCCTCATTTCTATTGTTTTCCCTCCTCCTCCTCCTGCTCATTTCTGTTGTTTTCCCTCCTCCTCATTTCTATTGTTTTCCCTCCTCCTCCTCCTGCTCATTTCTGTTGTTTTCCCTCCTCCTCCTCCTCCTCCTCCTCATTTCTATTGTTTTCCCTCCTCCTTCTCTTCCTCATTTCTATTGTTTTCCCTCCTCCTCCTCCTCATTTCTATTGTTTTCCCTCCTCCTTCTCTTCCTCATTTGTATTGTTTTCCCTCCTCCTCCTCATTTCTATTGTTTTCCCTCCTCCTTCTCTTCCTCATTTCTATTGTTTTCCCTCCTTCTCCTCCTCATTTGTATTGTTTTCCCTCCTCCTTCTCTTCCACATTTCTATTGTTTTCCCTCCTCCTCCTCCTCATTTCTATTGTTTTCCCTCCTCCTCCTCCTGCTCATTTCTGTTGTTTTCCCTCCTCCTCCTCGTCATTTCTATTGTTTTCCCTCCTCCTTCTCTTCCTCATTTGTATTGTTTTCCCTCCTCCTCCTCTTCCTCATTTCTATTGTTTTCCCTCCTTCTTCTCTTCCTCATTTGTACTGTTTTCCCTCCTCCTTCTCCTCCTCATTTCTATTGTTTTCCCTCGAAAAGGTCAAAGAGGCCAAAATCAGACCTGAAAGGCTAAACTCAAGTAGTAATGAGGAGGAGTAGTAGAAGGAGGAGGAGGGAAAAGAATCGTAAGAAGAGAAGGGAAAACAATAGTAATGTGGAGGAGGAGGAGGGGTGTGGGGTAAATGAAACATTTTCTTTCGTGCTAAAAAGAGCTAGTTTGCTTTTGCCCTCATCAATAGACACGATTTGCCCACCAAAAATCAGTGAACCGGAACTAGGACAATCACAGCAGCAGGAAATAGGACTTGCATAATTACGTTACGTCTTAGTGATTTTAAGCCACAGACAAGTTTGACTTTACTCCTCAGACACTATGAATTAACCAATGAAAACCTTAAAGTAACTAGAAAATCTAAACCAACTAAAAATGGCTCACGACCTTATTTTTATGAGATTCTTCTGCATTTTACTCATGAGATAAAGACAAAAGGTTGTGGCGTCATTGGCGTTAATGTATTCCTGCCCAAGTTAATAAAATTCCTGCCCAAAAAAGTGGAGTAACCGGTGCGCCCTATACTACTTACGTACTCTTGAACTAACTGTCAACAATGAGCTTGAGAAAGTAAGCGAATGGCAATGCTAACAAACTAACGCTTAACGTCAAAAAGTCCAACTATGTCATTGTTCGTCCCCACCAGAAAACAATACCTTTTATTCCTCAAATTAAGACTTTTAATCCAACTTCAAATACTCGAGTTATTTTAGAGTTGAAGGGCTTTGTTAAATATTTGGATATAATGATTGATTCTGAACTTTTATGGAAGCATCATATTGACTTTATCTGTCAAAAAATTAGTAGATCGGTTGGAATAATTGCTAAAATGAGGCATTACATTCCACGGCATCTTCTTCTGAATTTATACCATGCCCTTATTACTTCTTATTTAAATCATCGTATCTGTGCATGGGGCAACTCTCCACAAACCTACCTCAATAAGTTACTTTTTCTGCAAAAACGTGCATTGCGTTTGATTTACTTTGCCAGAGACCATGTAATTCCTTGTCTTAATGAATCAAACCGCCTTCCTCTACAGTCTTTGTTCGTTCAACAATCAAGCTATTCCTTAATGCCTAGATAATGAAGATAATTGTTTGAACGTTACTTAGCTAATAGAATATTTTAGACAGTTAACCCGATACTTTGCATATACCTCCAGTTGTAATTTTAGTCTTTTTTTTCTAATAACAAAACCCCTATGCATGAGTTGGTGTGAGGGGTTTTTCTTTCTCTGTGTTGTTGTATTTCTTTTCTTTTCCTTTTTTCTTAATCTGTAATTTAATAACGCCTTTATTTATAATTTTTGTCCCGCCTATATTAGCGCTATAGCTATTTGCAGGGCAAAAATTATTGTTGGCTTTATGGATCTTGAATTATACCGTTGTTGTTGATGTTGTTGTTGTTGTTGTGAATGGTGTGAATAAATATTATTATCTATTTTAAGAGACGTGTACTCTTATTGCTCTACCTTGGTATACATTTATTACAGTTTTTCTGCGTTTTATGGAGAACTTTCTTTGTACCATCTATAGATGTTGATGAATGCCTGTCCTCAAATGCTTGTGGAGCAAGTTATGTCTGTAATAACACCGTCGGATCATACAGATGTGAATGTTCAACTGGATTTTTTGCGAACTGCAGTACACAGAACCCTCTAAAACCGGATTGTGTCGGTAAGCTAGCTATGTAAAAAGATTCAAAAGCTATTCCCCTTTGCGTGTTAGCCTTTTTGTCAGAAGGAAAGGAAGGGTTGTTGGTGGTGTGTGGTTTATGTAATAGACACCTTTAGATTCAAGGACGAGAACGACTACGAGTACGAGATTTGACTTAAAGTTTTTTTCACGTATTCTCAAAAAATACCCCGGAATTCTTTAATTCACTTTTTTTGACAAGAAAAGTTAGCACTCTTATCGTTATTGAAGGAGGTTTAGACCTCTCCCGATTGCAAATTGCTAAAACTTCTAACATTTGATTACTTATTCCCGCCAATACGACACTCTCGCTAAAACTCGTTCTAGAATGAGGACGGCTACCACGTTTTCCCACCAAGATGACGCTGGTTCACGCGCGAGCACTGCTAAGTCTCGCGAAAATCTCGTACTCGTAGTCGTTCTCGTCTTACAATCTAAAGGTCTCTAATTACACACATTGCTGCCTGAATGTGGGAACGTGAAAAACAATGATCAATTTGTAAAAAGACACCATTATGATGACATCATAAATGGAATTTTATGGCAAGGCATTGTTTAGATAATGGTTTGCCAGCTCCGGTGGCAGGTCTCAGCAAACGCGTGGTCAAGCAAAGTTTTCAGCGTCCTCCTTATTATGAATCCAAAATGCCTTTTATAATCTGAGGCTATAGTGTTTAGCATTCCTATAGAGCTTTTTCACATGACGTCACGGCGGCCATATTGGTGTCCCAAAACAACAAAACGGCGGACATGTTGGTGTTCTGAACCAATCCTGTGGGAGTTGAACTCTTTTCTTATGCGAACGCTTTCTTTTGTTCCCATAAATTTGCGTAGATGCTGGTCACGTGAGCGAAAACGCTCTACACCGGACTGCTTTACGTGCTGACATAAACAGCTATTTGGTTCAGTATGAACGGCATCAGCTCAGAACTGGAAGGATGTTAGTAAAATAGAAGGGGAAAATGAAAAATGGGAACTCAGCAGAGAACTGGAAATGAAGTGACAGTTATGGCCATGGTTCAAGCTAGGTTTTGTTCCCATTTTTTATTTTCCCGTTCCCCATGCTCGTTCCCCACCCGCTCCCCATTCTAGGAACATCCCAACTGGAACACCACATCATACCAGAACAGTTTGATGCACTTAGTCATAATCTTTACTTTTCTAAGGTCTTTAGGGTTTTTATTATTTGTTTGACCAAAAATACATGTTAAACTACTGAAATTACAATTCGCAAAATCAAAATAAATAAATAAAAAGCTAAAAGAATAAAAACAACAAAAAAGCATGTTTTCTTGCGAATTTGTTTTTAATTAAGAAATATGCAACATAACGTGTATTGAGCACAATGTCAGACTTCCCTTTGCTCCCAGAAGATGGCATAAACATTTATCACGTGAGCAAGAACGGTTCATTTATTTCTCGATCTTTAAGTACGGATTGTTAAATTGCAGCTTTCCTAGCTCAATTTCATGTTTAATTTTCTTTGTCACCTTCGCAGATTTAGATGAATGCCAGTCTCCAGATGCTTGTAGAGCTAATCATGTATGTAATAACACCATTGGCTCGTACAGGTGTGAATGTTCAAACGGATTTGTTGCTGATTCTGGCGCACAGGACCCACTGAATCCAGGTTGTATCGGTAAGAAGTAGAGTAATCGAGTTGACGGAAAGTTTTTTTACAGACTAATAAAAACAAGTCGAACGTTTCACATAAGGAATGTCTATATTTCAATTAGACTTTACGGCCAAATCACTATGTGAAGAGAGGTGTATGTGCGCATTGATAAACCACAAGGATTGTTTTAAACCTGATGCTCAGGTAATCCCGGACTTCGTAATCCGAGAAATTTTTGCTTGTGGAATCCGGAATCTGGAGAAATTTTTTGTTTGGAATCCGGGCCCGGTTTTTGAAAGGCCGATTAGCGCTAACCCAGGATTAATGTTGTAGTTACCTTCCTATGAATTGCTTAGAATAACATTTTGTGTTAGAGCGATTTTCGGATGACCTTGAAATGAAAACGCGCGAACAAAACAGAAACAACAAACGAAGGGAAATGGAGCGATTTGATTGGTTTATCAAACGTACACAAACGCGCGTAGCTTTTGGTTAAGCGAACGCACGGGTGAAAAACCGTCATGCCCGAGAACTTTCTACAAATCAATCGATACTTTGCTTTGACGTCATATCATACTGCAACACGATTAGCCAATTGAACAATGCCATCTCCATATTAGGGTTTTCTTTGGCGCGAAAACGAAGAGTCCATGTTTTGATCTTTTTATCCACTGCCTGACATAACAAATAACAAACAGTTACCGAAACCACTTTTCAGGGTCCTGCGAAAATCGCCCTATCATAACTGTATCTCAGAGTAAAGGTTCAACAGTATTTTCTAAGCTTTAGTTACAAGTTCGTAGACAAGAAAAACGCGCTTAAAATTTGGCTTAATCCTGGGCTAAACTTAACCATCTTGCAAGGAACCGGGTCTCGGGCGATAAAATTCAGAATTGCGCGCAAGGAATCCGGAATCCCGCTAAAGATTTCAATCCAGAACCCAAGTTCCATGGTGATCAGGAATCCGGAATCAACGGCGTGGAATCCACAATCCAATGCTGTCTTGAATTACCTTACATGGAGCGATATCTTGAAATTGACCAGTTAAGTTCTTGCGCTCGATTTATGGAGAATTTGTACTCTCTGCAGATCGAGATGAATGCCAGTCCCCGGATGCATGTGGAGTCAATTATGACTGTAATAACACCGTTGGATCATACAGATGTGAATGTTTGACTGGATTTGTTTCAGACTGTGGTGCACAAAACCCACTAAATCCAGTTTGTGTCGGTAAGAAGTTTACTCCTTTCTTCGCTGTTAAATAAAGATAGTTAGTTCCTTTAAAGAAATTCAAGAGCTAACTTTTTGTGTGCTAGCCCTCCTTCATTTGGAAGGGAACAGTAAGTTGGCTGTTTGTATTTCGAATGGTGGAGCCACATTGCTGGTTTCAACAAATCCATGTGAAAACAATGACAATAGTGAAATGACTAGCGTTCCGCATTGATAGTTTTGGGATAAATTTCTCTACCTAAAGGGGTTGTTAAATAACGATTTCTCTCCATTTGATAAACACTTTTTCTGTCATTTTGGTAGATTTAGATGAATGCCAGTCCCCAGATGCTTGTGGAGCCAATCATGTTTGTAATAACACCGTTGGATCGCACAGGTGTGAATGCTCAAACGGATTCGTTGCTGATTCTGGTGCACAGGACCCACTGAATCCAGTTTGTATAGGTAAAAACTAAAACAATCTAGAAAATCGGCAAAACTCTCTCATACAAACTTAACTATATTAATCATAGGTTTTAAATTAGTGTTATTTATATGGCTACAATAGTACGCGCGCTATGATTGGCTGCTGAGCGGGTAAAATGTTCTTGTAATAACAGGGAATTACTGGCAAGGTGTCCAAGGTATATACACTCTGAGTGTTAACTTGATAGTGGACAACCATGTGATGGTCAATTGACAGCTGTCAAAAAAGAATCCGCTGACCAGTGTCATATGACTGTATCGCGAGGTCAAGTGTACAACTCATTGAGGTGATGTGTTTTTTTTGCTTAGAGTTTTCCGCTAACAAGTTATTGGTTTTAATAGATCGAAGGTTCAGGACAAAATTCGTGTCATTGTCAAAAAAAAACTGTGTCTTGTGGTTTCAATCGCATCGCCAGGTTCGTTTCGGTTCAGTGAACACAACCTCAAATGACCTCTTGCGCCCGGAAGCTGATGTTAAAAATTACTTCCAGTGTGTTTTATTTTATTCTTTTTAAGAATATAATAGCGCTAAAATGGCCATATAATAAATAACTTCAAAAGGTTGAGTTTGATCGTCCGGGTGAGCGTAGTCCTGAATAGGACTGTTGTTGTTGACAGTGACTGACGTTTCGACAACCTGTGCGGTAGTCATCTTCAGAGTCAAAGTGAGTTGTGTCGCGTCAGTTGATGGTATTATACTCTGGTCTAAAGCTGGTTTACTAACTTAGAACAGACGCTGAATCGTAGCCAACAGTTACCTAACAAACGACTTATTGACGAGATCAAGCAAAACCAACTACGAGAGAACAACTGGAGAACTGACAATTTGACTAACAATAGACGACTGTTTAACTGTGACAATAGACGGATCGAAACGCACCAATCACTGATTACCAGTCTTCATAGCCAATACCATTACGGCTTAACTGACAGACGACCAATAACATCGCGACATAATTGACCAACCAGATCAATAACCAGAGTATAATACCATCAACTGACGTGATACAACTCACTTTGACTCTGAAGATGACTACCGCACAGGTTGTCGAAACGTCAGTCACTGTCAACAACAACAGTCCTATTAAGGACTACGCTCACCCGGACGATCAAACTCAACCTTTTGAAATGACTCCTGGGTTCAAACCTTTCACAATAAATAACTTATTAACTTCGTCTGTTCGGTCATTAGAGGGAAATCTCAGTCTTGATGTATCGACCTTCCTATCGCTCGGTCGATCAACAAAGCCCCGGTCTGAGATTTTCCTGTAATTACCTCACTCTAGGTTAATAAAAGGTTTATAATGTTAACGTACATTTGTGCACAGATTTTGATGAATGCCAGTCTCCAGACGCTTGTGGAGCCAGTCGTGTCTGTAACAACACCGTTGGATCCTACAGGTGTGAATGTTCCAATGGATTTATTGCGGCCTGTGGTCCACAGGACCCACTAAATCCAGTTTGTGTCGGTAAGAACTGTGATAATTAAGTGAGTTAACAGCTCCAGTAAGGGTTTTATAAACCAACGTTTTGTTTGCTAGCCGCCGGATCGTCGATGTCAAGGAAGGAAGGAAGGGGTTGTTTGTGGTTATATATCCAAGGGTGGGGCCACGCTACTGCTAGGAACATGGTCACGAATACCAGTGATAAAAAATGAAATAACTCATTGATTCCGTGGGTATTCAGCGTTCCTTTTTAAAGTTGTAGTTGTTCTGTATGTTATGCCGGCTTTCCGTATCGCTTAGATGCAAGGAAAGACTGCAGTTCCCATTTGTCGCAGGAATAAATGTGACCTTTCCACGGACCAAGGCATTACATGAAAAGCCGAAGAAAGTGTAGAGTATAAATTGTGTTTTAGCGGCGCACCATAGATAAGAGAATTTCGTTATCTATGCATCCAAGAAATTTTTGGTGCTCACAAAGTCATGTTGGTGGATGTGAAATGGCACGCTTACGAGCTTGGAGTTCAAGGCATGTACTATCTGTGTTTGATTTGGTATTGGGCATTCATGTTATGGTCAATTGACAGCTGTCAGAAAAGGGTATCCACTGACCAGTGTCACATGACTGTATCTTTGAGGTGATGTTTTTAAAGTTATCCGCTGACCAGTTTTTGGTTTCAAATTGATCGGGGGTTCAGGTCCATTTTTTACGATGGTATTCAGTTTGCTTTCTGCTTGCGGCAAAATTTAATTTACTTAAAAACGTCCCTCGAGAACCATGTACAGGGTGTCCCAAAAGTTCGTTCCTCCCAGTTGTAAGTCTGTATTTCAGTACAATTGGACTTATTAAGGAAATCATTTCAACAAAAGTTGTATCTTTCAATATAATTCACTATTTTCCTACTTGTTTTGCCATCTTTTGTGTGGAATATTCGATTTGTGTACTTCCGCGCCAAAGTTGCGCGTGCGCTAGTATATTTTCCAGACACATTTTTTGTATTTCGTAGCCCGAATTGCTCGAACTCCTTCCTTGTTTTTTGTGAATATCACGAAAGATAAACCCCCTTAACGCAAAAACGTTCAGCTGCGTGAGAGCATAAGCCTGTATACTTCAATTTACTGATTTATCTGTTTTAGAAATTGCTAAGAACTGGAAAAATCCAAATGTTGGGTGGTAGAATAATCATGAAGAAATGAAGGTTTTGAAGGCAAGAAACTATGGGGAAGACCAAAAGCCCTCCCTGAATAAAGCAGCTAAATCAGTTTTAAAGAAGGCTGGGTACAAAATAGGAGACTCGACAAGGAAGCTCAGTCTCACATAGTTAGCAAGCCAAATAAAAGGGTCGTGAAAAGCTGTTTAAAATGTTTAAAGTTAGAGGCCCCTGAGATGGCAAAAAAACCTCTGCTTAGTCTGTCAATTAACGCCCAGCTCGTTTCAAATTTGTAAAGAAGTACAAAAGCCTTGCTGTAGAAGGGGGCCGGGATGGTTATCTTTTTTGGATAAATGCCTAAAATATATTTTTTTCCGCTGCCTCAACTAAACAAATTTTGTTTGGGGGTTGAACTGGTTCCTGCGCACCAGGTGATAAAAAAGCTCAAAATAGATCATTTGTGGGTCTACACGCTGTAGCCCAATTCATGCCTCAACGGCTACAGAATGTGATAAGAAAACACAAAGAGCATGCCAGTTACTGAAATTCTGAATACATGTACTAGATAGAGAAATAAACATCTAGCAATTTCATGTAAAAATATAGTTTTGATCAAAAGTTATAGTGCATGAAATTAGAGGAACGAACTTTTGGGACACCCTGTATTATCAATTTCATTTTCCATTTGATGCATGCATGGTGAAGTATCTAAGAAGGCTTAAAAATCTTATGCCAGTAAATGCCAAGTTACTTTTGTACAAATCAGCTATTATGCCACACCTTACTTATTGCCACCTAGTGTGGCATTTTTGCACGGCATCTGATAGTCGTAAATTGGAGCGTCTACAAGAAAGAGCCTTAAGATTAGTGTATAATACTACTACCGAAAGTTATGACACCTTGCTGAAAAGAGCTAAGTTGACTACTTTACAAAATAGGAGGTTGCAGGATATACTCATTTTGATGTTTAAAGTAAAAAACAAATTAACAGTGAACCAAATTGCGGATATTTTTAATATCAACGAGGAGAATATTAATAGTAAGAGATATAACCTAAGAAATGCAGATTTTGTCTTACCTCGGTTTAAAACTGTTACTTATGGAAAACATTCTCTCAGATTTCTCGGACCACAATTATGGTCTAAACTAAGCAAGGAGGAGAGAAATATTGCAACTTTGGCAACTTTTAGGACAATGATACGTAAGAAGGATGTAACATCATTTCTTGAGGGATGTGGGAGTGAATGCCGCTTATGCTTAGATTAAGAGGACGTACGCATATTTACTTATTCATTTTAGTGTCCGAGCTAATATACGCATTTAGTTTTTATATTGTAAATTTTCGAACTTAGCTTCGAAGTGTTAAATCTAGAACTTAGTTTTTAGAGTGTAAAAGAGCACTTAGCTTGAATAGTGTCAATTTCCGGCCTTTACAGTACTTAATTAGTTTCTATTAATGATGTAATTTAGTTTTAAAGGTGTCCCCAATTAGTGCCAATAGGCACTAGAACGACAAGACACTTTAATAAAGGTTATGTATGTATGTATGTATCTATTGCTGTACCTTTTCCATTTGATTAAGAATTGCTTCCAAGCTATCCATTTCATGAATATTTTTTGTTACAACCTTCGTAGATTTAGATGAATGCCAGTCCCCAGATGCTTGTGGAGCCAATCACGTTTGTAATAACACCGTTGGGTCGTATAGGTGTGAATGTCCAATCGGATTTGTTGCTGATTCTGGTGCACAGGACCCGCTAGCTCCAGTTTGTATTGGTACGAAGTCTCGTAATCTTGAAGAATCTTCCAATTCAGTGAAGTACCACACAATTGTATTCCTTTTCTGTGGACATTAAATTAAAGGCGGCAGGAAAGTTGAGTTTGAAGAAGAAGTGGCTGAAAGTTTTTCATTCTTTGTAACTGTTATTCTCCGGTGCTGCGCATTCTAGTATTTCTTTCTTTTCTTGCTTGGATAAACTGAAGATGCTATGTTTAAAAACAATATCAAGGAGTTTCTGGGGGTGTAAGCGGGTGATTAAACGTAAGTAAGCCTTGACATATGTTAAGCAATGATAAAATCAACAAAATAAAATCTGGAACTTTTCTAAATAACATTCTTAACTGCAATGTTGAAAAGCTTAAATGATTTTTAATTTAAGTATTCCGTTAATGTAGATGTGTTGCGGATTACACTCTTTATTTTGCCTAATCCACCTTAGTATAATTTAATATACTTATTAATGTTTTACGGATACCTTTTCTTTTTAACTCCGCAGATTTTGATGAATGCCAGTCCTCTGATGCTTGTGAAGTAAATCATGTCTGTAATAACACCGTTGGATCATACAGATGTGAATGTCCCACTGGGTTTGTTGCTAACTGCAGTACACAGAACCCACTTAATCCAGTTTGCGTCGGTAAGAAGTAAAGAGAAAAAACTGCACAAATCTAAACCAACAACAATTAACTTTTTAGAAAGTACATTAAAGAATTTCAGAAGGTAACCTCATGTGTGCTATTCCATCGTTATAAGGAATTGAAAGATTTCGGCTTGTGTCTTGTTGTGCCGCGATCTTGACACTGCTGGCAATCGAGTACGCGACCATTGAAAAACAAGGATGAATTTATTTAACTTCGAATACCGTCGGATACTCAAGCTTTTTCTTTGACAGACGCTCGGGTCATGCTGATTATCACATCTTTCGTGTTTATTAATTATCAAGCGTGAAATTTACCATCTTTCTTTATTTGGAGAATAAATTAGCTCATTTAAAGGTGTTCGTTTATCCCGAGAGGAATAAATGTGCTGATTTCAAAGGTAAACTTCAGCTGCTTTAGCTGTAGATTTTCACGGCAATACGTGTTACATTAAGTGTAGTAAGACACTGTTTATTGCATCTGTCTGCTCTTCTTACGTCAAGGCAACACTAGCTTAGAATAGCTTAAAGATTTAGAATATTAATCAAACGTGATATATAGATTTTATTCTACAGTTTGGTATATTTAACAGAGTGCTAAATATACCAAACTGGAGAATAATTGAGTGTTTTTATTTATTGCTCTACCTTCATGGCTCGTGATCTCGGACCGAAGAGGAATAATGGAACAGGGCTAACGAGAATAATTGAGTTTGAACTGTGGAATAATCGGACCTTTTGGGAATGGAATACACAAGAGTTTTGAGCTGGAGTAATAAAATATTGTGTCCTTTTAGCGGTGATAATGGAATGAGGAAACAGATTTTCTGAAGAGATAATGAACTATTGATTACCTCATAATTTCTCTTCTCCCCAATCATTTCAAATTGTAAATAAAAATGCATTATACGTTTCTGGGAAGCTGCCCACCTACCCCTCCCCTTAGCCAACATTTTGATTCTAAATGAGAAATAAGTGTTAATGTTGGCTTCGGGGAGGGGTAGGTGGGCAGTTTCCTAGAAACGCATAATGATCCATAAAAATTAGCTTCTCTCCATCCCCCATGTGTTTTTGTTTTGTGACCGCCATAGATTTAGATGAATGCCAGTTCCCAGATGCTTGTGGAGCCAATCATGTTTGTAATAACACCATTGGGTCGTACAGGTGTGAATGTTCAGTCGGATTTGCTGCTTATTCTGGTGCACAGGACCCACTGAATCCAGTTTGTATCGGTAAGAAATAGAGAAAATTGTTCTATGCAGACACATCTTGAGAACTAAACAACGCGCAAGTTTCTTTTCCAAATTACAAAGTGATTTAAAGACAATAATTGGTACTTCGAATCTGAAGATATTGGTTACACTCGGGGAAAAAAACTGACCGTCATTTAATACACTGAGATTACGTACTCCATTGGGCTTAATTGTATAATCAAAAGACAATTCAATTGCGTATCAATTAACAATTTACTACTATCAACGTCTTACTTAAGAAAGCTGGTTTACTAACTTAGAACAAACGCCAGTGAATCGTAGCCAACAGTTACCAGCGCCGTACAAACGGCTTATTGACGAGATCAAGCAAAACTAACTACGAGAGAATGACAATTTGACTAACAATAGACAACTGTTTAACTTTGACAATAGACGGATCGAAACGCACCAATTACTGATTACGAGTCTTCATAGCCAATAACGTCACGGCTTAACTGACAGACGACCAATAACATCACGACGTAATTGACCAATCAGATCAATAACCAGAGTATAATACCATCAACTGACGTGATATAACTCACTTTGACTCTGAAGATGACTACCGCACAGGTTGTCGAAACGTCAGTCACTGTCAACAACAACAGTCCTATTTAGGACTACGTTCACCCGGACGATCAAACTCAACCTACTTTTGCAACAATTTATATTAACATACAAGAAGGCAAAAGAACCTCAATGCAGGCAATCTAAGCCTTCGTTAAACTTGACAACTTGTCGCTAAAATGGTTCAATGAGCGAAACCTTAGGTAAAAGTACCTTCAATCTACTAGAAGTAGTATTGTAGGAATGTTTTAGACCCGTTTTTTTAATGGAATAGACTAACTCAATGACTTCATTTCCAGGCGTCTTGTAAGTTAGAGGGTGGTGCCAAGTTCTACATTGCTCTGCTGTGGGTCCTAAAATCAGTTTTTTTTAGCTATTTTCAGACGGACAATGTTAACTTTCACGATATAAAAATACGCATACAAAATGTTGGGCAGTCAAATACTTCCCCTTGCTGGGTCCGCGCCTCTTGCTCTACAACGCATCATGTGCATTCCATACAAAGCAGCATTTTCCAATGAGATCCGTCGGTACATCTTCAATTTATCTATGGCGAAATTCCGTATCATTTTGGTGCAATATCATAACATGCGCACTAATGGTTTTCCTTATTTTATGACCTATGGAGTATTTCGACTTTATGAAAAAGAAGTGTTTGAAGACATTTGCGTATAGAAGTCTAAGTTGAAAGCATAGTATAGACTCAGGATGTTACTATCAGGAACGCTGAGAGGTCGCAAAAAATAACACATAACAGTCTTGGGTGTAAACCAGAGAGTAGACATAAGCAAACCTTGAACTTTCTTGTAAATAATGAATGGTTTTAGCGGACAGACAAAATCTCGTATTTCCCTAAATATCAGTTTTGAAACCTCAGAAACTTTAATAAAGAAAAGCTGGAACAGTTTTGTGTTATTCTCGAATTGCAATCTCTATTTAAGGTAATGTGCATAGTTAGTATTGCTCTATACCTTGGTTTATAATAGCATTCCCACGTTTCATGGAAGATTTTCGTTGTCACCTCTACAGATGTTGATGAATGCCTGTCCTCAGATGCATGTGGAGCCAATTCTGCTTGTCATAACACCGTCGGATTATACAGATGTGAATGCACCACTGGATTTTCTGTCTGCGCTGCACAGAACCCACTTAATCCAGTTTGTGCTGGTAGGAAGTAAATAAACTGTGTTGAGAAATACATTCAGGAGGAAACATTTCATGTGGTATCCTCTTGAAAGACGAGGTCTGTAAACCTAATGGAAGAGCTAAACTATTGCGTTTAATTCAAAGTGATCACCTTTAAAACTAGAGTAAATTAGTTAAGGTGATTCCCTAGTAAAAGAACCTAACATAGATTGTAGATGAAACTTGGTACAATGATGTAACAAGTCAAAAAGATGATAAAAAAGTAATAAAAAGTGGGGGTCACCGTGCTCGTTTTGACGTCACAATGCTAACAAATACGGCTATTTTGGACCCTGTGACAAAAACCGCGCGCAGCCCAAAACTAGACAAAAAGGAAAGATTTTTTCAATGATGCATGTGGTATCGCATAGAATTTGACTTTAATGTATTGTTTATCCACTTACGTACCATAAAAATGCCTTTTAATGCCCTTGTTTTTACTATACGCTCCAAAGTAAAATTAAATTGGACACGCGCTATTCGACACGTGATAGCTTAATCCGTACAATTTAGTAAAATTGCCAAAAAACTGAACATAGATTTGTGCCAATTTTTTTCTCACCGAAAGGAAGCACTGTCCCTATTAAAATCACGAAATAAAAAATGGGGGTCACCGTACTCTTTTTTGCGGTAGAGCTGCAGAAAGTGCGCACCAAATGCATTTTCCTTGATTTTTGAGAGAGGAATGGGGCGAGTTTCAAAATAGAATGTATGTGAAAGGGGGAAGAAAGTATTAAAAAATCCGTTTTTACAGAATTTACACCAAGATATCACATCTAGAACACAATGTGATAAAGAAAGCGTTTAAATGAAAATCAAAGTGAAGAAGCACAAATTAAACATCCACTATCGAGGTTCTCCGTGAGGAAGTCGAACTCAGCAACACGCGTACTGCTTACGTTATGCTCATTCCCACCACATTGAGTCTCACCTCGGCAAGAAACAACCGCAAGCAAAAATTGCAATAGCGGTTCTCTTCGGTCAACTTCATTTTAATAATGTTACTTCACATGCTCTTTTTTACGGAGGCCATCTTGTTATGCGCAGTAAGAGATGCGCAATGCAAAACCAGGGAATCACCTTAAATGAAAAGATTTCGGCGAATACATGGGAATTTTAAGTCCCCGACGACACATATCCTTTTTTGTTTGAGGATGGAATTTTTTCCACGGCTGGCCAACCGTCCAGACATATCCGGTGAAAACGGTTACCGAAAACCCATTCAAAAACGCTCCCCAGAGTGAAGAGTTTTGAAAACGCCGTTTTGCGGTACTCGTGTTGGCTTAAGAAAGGGAGGTTTTCGAAAACATTTACGACACAGTGTTGAATACAGTGGATGTACTAGTCAACGCGCATGCTCCCATAAAAGTTGTTACTCTCTTTCAGTCACTATTGCGTTTTCGTTTGGACGGGCAAAAACGATTAAAAACTGCAACCCGTTGACGGGGCCTAAGAATACCGATGCAGCTTTCCGCTGCGCCTTAATGGCGAGAAGGGCTACACCGTGTGAATGAATTCCATATCTCCATACATGAGACCAATGCAGGAACTTTTTATAAGCCACCTGTACATGTTTATTTTAATAAATGAGCATTATTTATTGCCTTTAAGCTTTAACGCTGTTCTTAAATTCATGGAGACATATTCTTGCAACTTTTTAGATTTAGATGAATGCCAGTCCCCAGATGCTTGTGGAGCCGATCATGTTTGTAATAACACCGTTGGATCGTACAGGTGTGAATGTTTAACTGGGTTTGCTCCTGATGCTGGAGCGCAAGACCCACTGAATCCAGTTTGTATCGGTGAGAGGTTAACTTGTCCTGACGAGGGTAATTTTTTATACAGGCAAACGAAAAAAAAAAAACAAAAACAAGAATGTCGAGGAATTTTTTTTTATTCCGAAACTTGGCCGGTTCATACAGCATCATTTATCATAAAAGCTTTTTAACAAAAGGGCTTATTTCAATGTGCTTGGGTATCGGACATCCCTTATAGGTAGAGTAAACAAGGATCCTTTTTTAAGGAGATAGTATCCCTCAGTGAAAATCTTGCTTGTATTATTTGTTACTTCGCAACAGTACAACAAACGAAATGTGATGTAAAGGTGCAAGCAAACGTCCTTTGCTCTAATGTACAATGTTTTCACATGACGTCAGGCCACCACTTTGGTGTCCTTACCACTTCTGTAATGGGAGTTGAATCTTTTTCTTATACAAAAACTTTCTTTAGCTCCAATAAATTTGCAGAGCTTCAGGTCACGTCAGTGAAAAGGCTCTATGAAAAATACAACAGGAATTTCTATAGGGCCCTCCTTTTTAGATTTTAAGTTATTAACTGTTATGTGGCATCTATTACTTATACTTATTTTAAATAGATGATGTTATATTTAACTTGTCTTAGTCAATTTGTCCTCATCTAGTCATAATAATGTCGTTTTATAGTGAATTCTCTTTGTTAATTCTGCAGATTTAGATGAATGCCTGTCCCCAGATGCTTGTGGAGCCAACTGTGTTTGCAATAACACCTTTGGATCATACAGATGTGAATGTTGTGCTCCACAGGACCCACTAAATCCAGTTTGTTTTGGTAAGGAGTAAAATAATCCAGAAAAGTAAAGTTGTAAGTTTTTGAAGAAATTATGGAGCTACAGTCGGAGTGAAATGCACAATTTGTTGCTCTCCCAACTGAGCCAACCAGGCGGCGGTCTTTCGTTGATTAATTTTCAAGAAAATTCATGTGTTCATGTCATTGATTTTAGTGGCCATCTTTGGTAGACGAATCTTTGTTATTACCAGGAGAAATTTGTTGATGCTGATCACCATTAGGCGCCAGTTGATCAAAAGATGAATAGCGCTATCCACCGGATAAATCACTATCCACTGGATAGCGCAATTGGTTTCCCTAACACTTATCTGAGGGATAGTGATTTATCCGATGGATAACGGTATCCATCTTTTCGACAACCGGGGGCTATTGAGGATCAAGGCATGCGCAGTATTTATTAAACCACCTTGAGGGACTGATAAACAATACTGAAGAATTTTCTATGTAACTGTCTTAGATTTTGATGAATGCCAGTCCCCAGATGCTTGTGGAGACAATCATGTTTGTAATAACACCGTTGGCTCGTACCGATGTGAATGTCCAATCGGATTTGTTGCTGATTCTGGTGCACAGGATCCACGGCATACCGTTTGTGTCGGTAAGATGTTAATTCATGTGTTCATGTCATTAAGTTTTTAGTGACCGTCTTTGGTAGATGAATCTTTGTTATTACCAGAGAAAATTTGATGCTGATCACCATCAGGCGCCAGTTGTTCAAAACGTGAATAGCGCTATCCACCGGGTAGCGCCATTGGTTTCCCTAATACTTATCCGATGAATAGCGATTTATCCGATGGGTAGCGCTAGTCATCGTTTGAACAACCGGGGCCCGCGGGGGTGAATGATGATCAAGGCATGCGCAGTATTTATTAAACCACCTTGAGGGACTGATAAACAGTATTGAAGAATTTTCATTGTAACCGTCGTAGATTTTGATGAATGCCAGTCCCCAGATGCTTGTGGAGACAATCATGTTTGTAATAACACTGTTGGCTCGTACCGATGTGAATGTCCAATCGGATTTGTCGCTGACTCTGGTGCACAGGATCCAAGGCATCCTGTTTGTGTCGGTAAGATGTTAATTCATGTGTTCATGTCATTAGTTTTAGTGACCATCTTTGGTAGACGAATCTTTGTTATTACCAGGAGAAATTTGATGCTGATCTCCATCAGGCGCCATTTGATCAAAAGATGAATAGCGCTATCCACCGGATAAATCACTA